GATAGATAGATAGATAGATAGATAGATAGATAGATAGATAGATAGATGACCTCTAATGGCGTCTGTCGTTATCTTCTTTGTTCACTAGATGGTGCAGTGAGACCATTTTTAGCTTATCCAGCCTATCTGAACCAATAAGAAGCCCCTTTGCTCTGTGACAGACGCTTGCATTCAAAATAAGAGCTCAACTCTATCTGAATGAGTTCAGCACCCATTCACCGCAGTACATAAAACTAGCACGTGCTCTTTTAGTTTGACACGTCGCAGAATTCTCTTCCGGAAGTGGAAAACTCCGGTGTCCGTGGCGGATGTATGAGTCGTAACGATGGCAGCTCCAAATAGGAAGCAGATGATGAGGTTTCTCTCCCAGCTAGGAGCGTTTATTCTGACCCGGTTCGGGTTTTGGAATTGCTTCTGTATGCTGATGTTGTTTGCTGAAAGAGCGGATTCAAAAAGGTAAAGAAATGGCGGCTAACAGAAAAAATAGCCCGCTAACATTAGCTTCCAAGCTAACGACACTGTGTTAAACTGCAGTTCAATGTACCGAAATAACCAAAAATTGCCACATGTTTGACTCAGAGTCAGCATATAGACAAAGCATAGTCAAAACTTGTTGTTGAAGGTGTAAACCAGCCTATAACAAAGTGTTATGTCAGTAAACTGGGAGATAAGATCTTAGTCAAAGTGCATCGTTTCACGTTGCATCATTTAAATTAAACGATATTTGGTTTATTATTTGATGTTGAACCTGATAGAACTGAGATCATTGTCTGTTAGTTTTATATTTCATTGTACTTCATTTAATTGTATTCTATTTTTGCCACTGCTGTGGACTGGGTGTGTGTTTTAGTTTGGTCTGTGGTGGGCTGGTCAGACTTAACCCTCCACACCCCTCACAGTTACTCTGTAATTAGAGCAACTCCCAGGAAAATGTGCATATACCTGCTGGTTCCTCCTACTGGGCTTTTTTCTGCCAGAAAAAAATAAATGTTCTTTTAGTGCTGAATTTACCAGAAAAGTCTTACTTAAAATCAATGTTTGCTCATTTATTTTCTCTAAATAACTATTAAAATGTAGATTTCATTTGAGATTTTACTTTTTTTTTCTCTCAGGGGGGAAGTAGCCAGTGAGCACAAAGAATCTCTCAGATTTTCCTCTAAAGTATAATTATTTTTTAATTCAACTTGGGATGCTGCAGGCAATATGATTTATTGTTTGTAAACCTTATTTTGTTTAAAGCTATTTTATTATAAATGCAGTTACAAATTAATTAAAAAACAATAAATACATGATACAGTATAAAATAATACAATACATTACACAAAATCACAATGACTGAAAGCTCAACTTAAAATATAAATACCAAGCCTATGGGGAAAAAAAACAACTTTTGAATAAGATAATTTGTTAACTAAACATTTCCAGAATGTTTGATTTTTCCTTCCTTTTGATTGACTCCTGTCTCCAGGAAGCCGGACATCCACATTCCGTACCTGTATGTGGACATGGGAGTGGCCGTCCTCTGTGCTAGCTTCATGTCGTTTGGGGTGAAGAGGCGGTGGTTTGCAATGGGCGGCGCGTTACAGCTGGCCATCAGCACCTACGCGTCCTATGTGGGAGAACAGGTGCATTATGGGGACTGGCTTAAGGTGAGTGAGGCACCCGGTACCCACTTTTAAAGATGTCTGGTCACTGTTTCCAAATGTTAACAGTTATGTAACATTATATTTAATCATATTTAGATGATTTGTAATTTGTCCTATAGTTAAGATTAAAATCAAACTTCACAAAAGGGTTAGAACTGGTCTCACTTGGTTTTGTAAGACCACGAACTGCTGTAACATAATATATGTGTCAGATCTGAAATGAAAATGGTTTTCATCCATGTAGAAATATTAATCGAAAACAGATCTGTGTCACTCCTGAAGGAGAAAATTGGATCTGGGACACTCTTGCCGGCCGGAGAGTCTTTCCCGTTATTAAACCAGAGTCACTGTGATGTGAACTTGGCCCAGATAGTCACGGCGTGAACCTCGTTGCCCCGCAGGTTCGGATGTACTCCAGAGCTCTGGCCATCATCGGAGGCTTCCTGGTTCTGGCCAGCGGGGCCGGGGAGCCGTACAGACGGAAACCACGCAGCAGATCTCTGCAGTCCACTGGACAGGTCTTTCTCGGGGTGTATCTCATCTGCGTGGTAAGACTTTTAGCATCTAAATCTGGATTTTAAACCAAAAAGACAATACAACTGTGATCCACTGTGTACAGATTGATTTGAAGTATCATGTTTTTTTTTTTCATTAAAAAAGTGTGCACATATATTTCTTTTATTATATTCCATTTTTTGGTTTAGAAGAAGCTTCTTTTCTGGTTTTGTTTCAAGCCTTGCCGCTCTGTCCACCAGGTTTACTCGCTGCAGCACAGCAAAGAGGACAGGCAGGCCTACGTGAACCACATAGTCGGGGGGGAGGTCACGGTGATGCTGCTGGAGGTGCTGTTTGGCGTTCTGGCTCTGGCCTTCCTCTCGGGCTGCTACATCCGGCTGGCCGCTCAGATCCTGGCCACGGTCCTCCCCCTGGTGGTCCTGCTCATCGACGGGAACATCGGCTACTGGCACAACACCCGGAAGGTGGAGTTCTGGAACCAGATGAAGATGATCGGCCATAACGTGGGCATCTTCGGCGCCGTGTTGATCCTGGCCACCGACGGCTGAACCCCGCCCGACATTTCCAGACCCAAGCGTCTGTCCAGGATAAGATGGCCGCCGCCTTTTTGGCCGCCGCCTGAATTTGTACTCCAATCTGCCGCCGTTCAGAGACTTCTCAGGATCCAAAACGCTCCGGCCCAAGCTGAGCTGCACCGTTTGTCTTTGCCTGCCGGGTGGGGGGTGTCGCTTTTGCAGGAAAAACACAAGCTTTGCCATTTTTGTTATTTATTTGAATGCAAGTTTACATTTCTTATGCTCTGAAACACTACACCCAGAATTGGTACTGTAACAGTATGAGGAACTTTTATCAACGGAACGAGTCTTAAAGAAATGAGTCACGTAAAACAGCAGGGTGGAAATTTTCTACTAATAAAGGGACATTTCTACTTTACTGGTCATGGGACAGGTCTGTGTTTATGGCGGGTTCGACCAGTTACTTTTAACCTGCTGTTTTTCTTCAGTTAAAGTTATTTTATCTTCTGTATTATTAACTCACTCGTCTTATGAAAACATTTTGTTATTTGAACCTGCCGAATCTCCCCCCGAATCACCATATCTGCATGAAGTGAGCAGTTTTGAAGAAAAGGAATGGCAGAATGCAGCCCATGCTTCCAGTCTTTGATCCTCCAGAAGGCGTCTAACAAGTTCAAACGTCTGACTGATATTCACAGAGCCTCTTCAGATCTTTCCGGTGATGCACCGCTCGCAACACAAAGTGTCTTAAGTTTCACGTCAGAATGTCTGAGACCCCCCTTTTTGTACCACTTACGTGTAAATATGACAAGAGTTGTACTATGTATAGAATAAAAAGTGAGGAACATACAGGCTGGGATCGTTTGGCGATGCAGTAAATACATGGTAGTCCCATCTATTATATCAGGGATCTATGATCAGCTCATTACTACGGTACAGAGAGTACTCTGCACATCCAGAACTGTTTGCTTTGAGGACATTAAACTCCGTCCATGCAAACGGCCTGTTTCCAGTTATGTATTTCAGATCACTTATGAGAGGCAGAATTTAAAGGGTTTTCCATCAGGCAGCAACCAGGTTGCCCACAGGTTAGTTAATCTCAGCTTCGTTTTTAGACTCAAAAAAGAAAGACTGTCCATTATTTAGTCAGACAACCTCCAGATGTTTTTGTATTCTAAATAAATGACTTATTAAAGATTTAAATTGAAAAGCTTTTCCTTTGCTGGCTTTCTTTCCTATTGGTGTTATTCATTTTAACACCTCTTGCAAAGAGCAATATGTTGGCATGGTTGAGTTTTTAGATGGGGACTTCAGGCCCAAAGCTGATGGAAACGACAGGTTTTTCTGACCACAGTCAGGACAGCTGCTGGCCTTAGGCTTGACCCACCACAGGGGTGGTCATTTGTCCTCGGAGTCCACTTCGCTGACCGCCTGTTTGCTCTTGCGGTTGCGCTCCGCTTTGGCCAGCGCGCCCACCACGGCCAGCGCCACGGTCACCGTGATGACCAGCACCGACACCGTCTCGGCCATGCACAGCTGGCTGTCCATGGAGGCCAGCGACGCGCCGCTCTGCTGCGGGGGCGCGTGGCACACGATGTCCGCGTAGTCCTGCACGCGCAGGTGGCGCACGTGCTGGATCTTCCCGAAGACGCGCTGCAGCTCGCAGTCGCAGGTCCAGGGGTTGCCGGACATCTGCAGGTGCGTGCCGGCGGTGCGCAGCTTCAGGAGGGTCTTGAACTTGACGTGGACCAGCCGGTTGCCCCTGAGGTCCAGCAGGGTCAGGGCGCGCAGGGGCGCGAGCGCGTCGGCCTCGATGACCGAGATGTTGTTGTGTCCGAGCCGGAGCGCCTCCAGGGCCTGCTGGCCGGTCAGCAGCCCGTCCGGGAGCGCGTTCAGCCGGTTCCCCTGCAGGCCGAGCACGCGCAGCCGGGACAGGCTGCCGAAGGCGCGCGCGTCCACGCTCTGGATGCGGTTGTAGCTGAGGTCCAGCTTCCGCAGGTTGTCCGAGTCGGCCAGCGACGCGGCGTCCAGGTGCTGCAGCAGGTTGTGGTCAAGCCGGAGCTCCCGGAGGGAGGACAGGCTCCGAGAGAAGTCGTGAGGGAGCCAACGCAGCCGGTTGAAACTCAAGTCCAGCCTCTCCAGAAACTGCTGGGAGGACAGAGACTGGCGAGGAAAAAAAAAACGCAGATTAAAGATCAACCCCCTGAATCTGAACGTACCAGAACACGAGGTTTAAAGGGGACAGCGTGTTCTATTCCAAGAAAATAACACAACAGAGAAGAAACAACAGACTGGTCAGTCAGATATAGAGTAAAACACAAAGCCAAAACGGGTTTGCCCATAAAAGACTCATCTTGATATTTCAATCTGTGCTCAATCGTTTTTTATTTTCTTCACATGGGTCTAAATTTTAAATAGTTTAAGTATAGGTAGACTAACATCTGCCACTTAATGCACATAAACAATGTACACAAAGAGCCATTTCTTGAGAACTTTCAAATGAAAAATTGCAATCTTTATGAGAATAAATCAATTAAACCCATATGTTAAATAGCAGCTTCCTACCTGTGGATGCAGAGCAAAGATGCTGTTATTGGACATCAGCAGGATCTTGAGTGACCAGAGGCCCGCGAAGGAATTGGGCCGCACCTCCTTGACCCTGTTCCCGCTGAGGTCCAGCAGCCAGGTGCCGTGGGGGAGGCTGGGGGGGACCCGGTCCAGCCCGCGGGACCTGCAGTCCACCAGGTCTGAGGCCGGGAAGCAGAGGCAGGGTCCAGGACAGGGCCTGGGGCCGGACGTGGAGTGGACGACCACCACCACCACCAGCACCAACAGTAGCTGTGGTGTCTGTGGGCTCCTGCCCAGAGGCATGGTCAGCCCTGCTCCTGCCGTGTTGCCTTCACTGCAGCAGCTGGACCGAAACGGGTCATTCCAGCAGACCCTCTGCAAGGACGCGTCCAATATTCCGACCAGAGAGGGATTAAGGGCTTAAACTGATGATCGCATAAGCATCTCTGGGGAGAAAAACCCCAGTCTGTTTTCATCTCCATCTAAAATAAGAATGTATATTTGCTTCAGAGCATGGGTCTGCTGGACAGATTTTCATAGGTTGCCTCATCCTCTCATTTCAGCAAAGATTTAAACATTTTTTAGACTTTTAGCTAAGGAAATGTAATTGTTAAAATGAGAATTACAAATATTTTTCCTTTTAAAAGGTTCAATCTTCAGATATTCAGACACGCTGGCCTTCAGATTTTATTCGTACTATCGCGGTTAAGTTACCAAAAAGTAATTACTCTGTTGATATGATTCCAATGACCAGATGCTCAAGTCTGCTTGACCCTTAACGGGATTAACCTGCGACGGCCTGTTTAAAAATCCACAATAAACCAACAAAATGACGGAAAAGGATGCCTTCAGACCTCACAAGCCCACCTCTGACCCTGTTCTCTTTGTTCAGAGGAGCCAAACAGGTGTAATTAAGCTGCGTTTAAAGAGGCGGGGCTTAGCGATTCAAAATTAAGTCATTTTCAGGGGTCACCGTGCTGTAAAACACAAACCCGAGCATTCAACCCAAAGTGCCGGACCATCATTTCAGTTCCGTCTTCAGCCGCCTGTCAAAAAGTCGTTGGAAATTACAGTATTACAGTCAGAATTTTTGTTACTTTTATTTTAGAAAATGTCCTTTAAAGTGTGGCGTTTCAAGTCACATTTTGTTTAAAATACAGAAAACAGACAGTAGAACATGGATACAGCAAAAAAGGAAACAATGACAGAAAATAAAGCTAACAAGCCTTTCTGACTGCTCTAGTTTTCTCTTTTTGAAATGGAACTGAAGGCAAAGGAAAGAGGGCAGAAAAAGAAAAGGTTCGGGGAGAGGAAGGGAGGAGTGAGAGGGGGGGGGCAGAATGAGACAAGTTAGTTAAGGAAACTATGGTTGCTTTATAGGTCATGTTTAAATTATTCTTTATAAAGTCTAATTTAAGATTTCATCTTTCCTCTTTCTTTTTTGTCTTTTTCATTTATTGGTATTTTGATCTTCAGGATCCAGGGCCCTCAGCGCTCCTCCTTGTGGTCTCAGACCGAAGACAAGGAATGCCGACTTTGTCTGGCAGTGGGAACAAAACCACCTGCGTCGCCTTCCCTGGCCAACCCACACTGCCAACTCAAGAAGATAAAGTGGAGTCCTTCTGTGTTTGCTGTGCTTGTGAACGTTGCATGGACTTCTGACTTTCCATGTCTCTAAAATGTTTCTCAACCTGCAGAGAGAAAGAAAAAAAGATCTTAATGCAACCACGGACTTGATTTCAGGATCGGTTGAAAACAAAAAGGCCGGCTGCTTGTTCTGAGCCGTGTCCTGACCCCTCAGCCCCAGAATGACGTAATGTCAGATTCTCTGTAATAGTTTAGCCGCCATGGCGAGGATGAGGAGATCTGGGGGGGGGATGAAGCTCGGGCTGGAGAGCCGGCTAATAATCGCCCAGCAGCTGCAGATTTGGAGATCCACTCTAATCTTTTCATTGCACATGTGGCGTTTTGTTTTTGTTTTTCTTCCTTCTTGATGCACGGAATCGCATCTCAGAACTAAGAATTAAGCCCCGGCGGCAGGAACGGGAACGCTGGTCTCCCATTGCTGGGTTCATTTGCCCAGTCGGGACTTCTTCCCCGTTCAGTCAGCGTTTAAGGAATTAGTCGGGAAAAAGCGAAAGCCCAGAGTTAATCGGGGAAACATCTGTCGGCTTGGTCATCATCACAGAAGTTTCCCTGCTGTCTGCAAACGGACTCAAAAGGTCCACACGCATGCTGCCATCACATATTTATTAAGTCATTTCATTTAACTCGCAAGAAAAGATGAGAAGCCGTTCAACCACATCCTGAAAGATTCAAATAAATAATTCCGGTACTATTCCTTTTCATCATTTTAGGGGGGAAACGACAGGTCATGAGTCTGTGTTCTGGGACTTTGGGCTTTGGGGTCAGTGTGCGCTGCTCTCTGGTGGCACCCAGTGGTTCTCCACACATTTTACAGGTTTCCGTTCACGGACTCTTACGGGACGACTGGCTCACATGCCGTGCAGAGGCGAGGCATACTTACTATTTTGCGTACATGACTTAAAGCGCTTCCCTCTTTGCCTTTGCAGTTCTCCACCTGGTATGGCGGCGAGATTACGACATCGTCCATCACAATAATGTTCTTCTCCTGCCATTTACAGTCTTTGATGCTGCAAAAAGAGATACTGGTTAGCTTGCGGGCACACGGCTGGAGGTAAATTCATTTGGATAATCAAAAAGTTTCCAAATGACAGAACTGAAAAGCATAAGTCTTCGTGAGACGGCTCGTGAATTTGGTTTACCGTATCATTTATTAACATTTATTGTGCTTTTCTACCTTTTTATTTAACTTGCTTCTGCTTTCAGTCTTTGGTAATGTTGTCTGTGTAATGGGGTCAGCACGGACCCTGGTGATCTGTCAGTGTGAGGTTCTTACGTTTTGTGAATAGTCTGGAATAGCTGTTGGCCCTCCACAGAAACCCCAGCACTGATTGCATAGGCTTGGGACAGCTTGTCCTCCTTTTCTGTTCGTGCTCGATTGGCAAGCTGGAAAAAATAAAATAAATAGAAACACTTATTGGTTAATTAGAATCACTCATCTTTTTCTGTTGAGTAAAAGATCCATGACTTGTACAATAAAAAGCAAATAGGAGCCAGGAACACAGGTCTCGGTTTAAAACAAATTTGAAATTTCCATTTCTAGATGAAATGTGCGACCACAGGCTGACATCAGACGTTCTCAAACACGCAGTTTAAGCAGGAGACAAACCTGGTTAAAACTCAATATGGCCACATTATGTTTTAGCACAATGTTAGCTTAATGTGTTTGAGCTGGTGCACATGCCGTTAGCTACTTCCTTTGACTGTGCGTGTGCGGGGAAATGTTGAGCAGATTCTGATGCTTCCTATGTGGGAAAAATGTTTACCTGCAAGTTCAATATTTAGCTGGACAGTTTTTGTTCCAACCAGATAAATAGATTTGTGCATGAGAGCGAGACGAACTGTAGAGGTCACTGAATGTGGAATTTCCTAAAGTAACAGGTTGAACATAAAGAAACAAGTCCTCCACGACCGTTCGCTTTAAAATGCTCCACAGCTACAGCAGAATGCATAGAAAGTGAGGGATTTATGGAACACAGGTTGCGAGCGACGTATTTACACTCGCACCCAAAGACGTTTGATCTATAAGCCAACAAACAAAACCAATAATAAATCAACCACTCACCTTGCTAACATTCAGTGATGCTAGTGGAGGTGGAGTCTCGGTGCGGTCATTTATTATGTCCACATCAGAAACATAAGCTAAGTTGATCAGGATGACGTCGTTGAGGTTCGGCTTGCCACTGGAGGAAGCACATTCTTTGGTGGCACACAGGTTAAGGCGGGCAACTGCATGACAAGGCCTCAAAGAACAAAATCCCCATTGTTATCAGTCCCCCAAAGAACCCAAACACCATCTCCACAGAGAAACTTACGGGACAGAGAGGCTGCGGCGGCCTAACGCTGTCAGTGAAAGGGGGTGCCAGTTACAGCATTTGACCACTAAAGGCTGTGCTGCCACCTATAGTAACCACTCATGAATGGATGGATAAGAAAATGCCATATGTGGCCACACTTTTACTAGAGAAATTAATTCCGATAATATCTGATCACGCTAAACTTCTCATTAAATACTAAACCAAGAGATAAAATTCCTATTCGTTTTATAACATCATTTTTGTTTCCCTTGAAAGTAAAATGTAATTTCCATATTCAGGTTGTAGCAATATTCAGGACATGTGCATGCTTTTTCGTACCAACTATAAAAATCACTAAATCATTTTGGATTATTTCAGATCTGTGATCTAAATCTTGAGACCTTCAAACCGTTGAATGTCAAAGGCCAATCACGTTTTAGCTTCCAGATCTCAAACATAAACTGTCAAACACCTTTTACACTGAAATTCCTTAAAAAATAAAATCGCACGGCAGTGTTTAATCGTGTGGACGGCCAGGACAACTTTTGACGGCTAAGTTTCGGTTTGAGGAACGAGGTGATCATTTGGATAAGGCTCGCCATCGGGAGACAAACGCTCCCTATGAATGGGTGGGGGCATTCTTACCGGCTAGCTAATGGCAATTGTAATTACTCGAGAACGTCTTAAACTAAACATGATTCAATTTGACGGAATTTTTAAAATGGATAATCATGTTAAAGCCGTGCATGACAAAACCCAGTCGGTAAACTGCAGAATTCCGCGGTGTTTAATTGAATATCAAGCAAACGGCGGCAGTGTGGGTTTGACCGAAACTTAGCATGTTAGCTGAGCTAACAGCAATTTGGCTCTAGCGTGGAAGGGTACTCGCTACATAATCGGGACAAACTTTTACAAATAGCCGCCTGCATCGCTAGGCAATGGCACAAAAAACTATAAGAGAAAAAAAAACCTGTGGACTCAAGCCGGATTGAAATTGAGCAAGTTAGCGAGAAAACTAGCAACGGTTTGTGCCTGTTGAGAGCACACAGCCATGATGCCTTACGAGGATTCGCTGCCAGATAGTGAGCCATGTTGCGGGTTGGCAATACAATAAGTAGATTCAAAACACATGCTTCTTCTAGCGGATAAAAACGAAGCCTATAAATTCCCACGTAACATCAGCGAGACTTTCAACGGATATGATACGGATGGACAGCCATCTCGCAAGTGAAATAATTTAAAACGGACAAAGATGTGTAACTCAGCTACCACCAATTACGCCTGCGCGGATCACTATTTGACATATTTTCGGTTACCCTACAGGCCCTTGCAGCCAGAGAGGCCAGCTAGCCACCCGCTGGGCGAAACAAACAAAGGATACTCAAAGTTAACATCTTGGACTGGTAATCAAATGCGACCACTTCTCCTTGTAGACGTTGGCCCAAGCAGGTGAGGCATGAGACATGGCTCCCGACGCTGAAATACTCCCCCGGTCCAGGAGCCGCCATCTTCTCCGCCAGGAAACCGGAGCGCCTGCTTTACGTAAAGCAACGTGATGTCGTAGGCAGACGGAATCTGGGCGTGTCGACTTACGTCGCCTTCTTACAATTTAATCAGCTGCGGATCATTCCATAAACGTGGGAAATTTGTGACACGATTAACTTTAAAAAAAAAAAAACCCGATTAAGTTACGTACAATACTGTATCTTTAGAGATTTATCGCAGACACATTTTGAAATCGTGGGTGGAATGTATGGCTTTGCCCCTCGTTTCATCACCTTAACTGAAACTGCTCTCTCTGTTGGGCATATGCTGGTACTGCGGCGTAACCTGCATCATTTCCCTTGAAAGAACGCTTGAGCAGAATATGCCTATTTAATCACGTCAGAGAAAGCGTTGAAATGGAGGCAATATATACCCAAGGCATCTGGGCAGCTGAAACTCTCCAGCAACGGACAAAGAATCTGGAAAAATTTTGGCTTGTCATTACACATCTTGGCGATCCCAAAGCAGCCTTTTTGTTCGTCTTTCCTTTCACCTATTTTATTAGTAAACGAGCAGGAATTGCAGTGCTTTGGGTCGCAGCTGTATCGGAGTGGTTGAACTTGGTGTTTAAATGGTAAGGCTAAAGGAGTTTTCGATGACAGTTTTTACTCTACGACAGTTTTAGCCGAACGCAAAATGTCAGAAACTTTTAGAATTTTATATTAAAACATATTGTGTTGTTGTTTATTATGTTTCCATTTGGGCCTTTTTGTCAGTAATTATTTACAGAGAAAAATAGTAATTATTTAATATTTTATTCCGTAAACGTTGTAGCTTCCGGGACAGCGTCGCAGTGCAGTCCAACCTTCTCTACTTTCCGTGTTGAAACAAACAAGCGGAACAGTTTATTGCAGCTCTGTAGCAACAACGGAATATGTAACAAGATATGTATTTATGTAAACACAATAATGATTTTGTGAAACAAGTTTTAAGTAAACGATCCACACTCCAGCTGAAGATACCGTAGAGCTATTTTTGATAAAATAGGAATAAAACCACAACTAATAGTGTTTATTTGGGAAAGGAATATGACAATTGCATCTATGTTAGTTGTGCATAATTTCTTTTTAATCATCTAGGATGCTGTTCGGCGAAAGACCTTTCTGGTGGATGGGTGAATCTGGTCTATTTGTCAACACACAACCTCAAGTTCACCAGTTTCCATCCACCTGTGAAACGGGCCCAGGTGAGATACCCTCACAGAAAAATGAAGCAAGTATTGGTTGTAGACAGTGCTCTTTATTCATCAAATAGCCAGCGCTCCAAAGTTAGCATCTGTCTCTCAGGCAGTCCATCAGGACATGCGATGGTGACAGCAGCAGTGTGGTGGGTCGTAATGTCCTCACTGGGGTCATCTCTGTATGCCCGCACCCGCAGGTATGCTGGAGTTTTATGTACAACTACAGGGTATATAAGCCTATTTATTGTTGAGTCTTTTCCTTGCTTTCAGTGTGATGATATCAGCTACGCCGTACGTGCTTTATGTGGGAATGCTGGTTGGAGTTGGAATCTCCCGGATCTTCATCCTAGCTCATTTCCCTCATCAGGTCATCGCTGGCAGCATCACAGGTCAGAGCACAGTATCACTGCATGAGTGAGTCCCCAAAGAAGCCTTCACCAAAGCACTCCTTAAAACTGAGGCAAAAGTCATATTTCTCCAAGGAAAGACATCGAGCTGATTGATTTGCCACGTTTTCCCTGTAAGCTTACATTTCTGGAGATGTAAACATTTCACTGTCAATGTAAATTCTACAGATAATAACGATATGTGCTGGTAGTAAATCTTTTTATATGGATTTGAACTGACTGAGTAATTCCTATCAGGGTTCCTTCTGGGGGTTCTTTTGAGTGGTCGAGTACCAGAACGTCGCCCCCTGCTGTTCTTCTTCAGGTTAAGCATCGGCATGCTTCTTAGTGCTCTTCTGCTCTATTTTGGATTGCAGCAGGTTGGAGTTGACCTGTCCTGGTGAGAATCTTTGCTTTCATCTGTAATGTAGCACTATTTGCCATCGTAACCTTTGTGATGTGACACAAACTTTCCTGCCCAGACGAGTTGTGTTTTGTTTATTCCACAGGTCTATTGCTTTGGCAAAGAAATGGTGCAGCCGTGCAGAGTGGATCCGTCTGGACACCGCCCCGTTCTCCTCTCTGACTCGAGACTGTGGGGCCCTGTTGGGTTTGGGGCTCGCCCAGTACTGGAAACCCAACGGCTGGTCCCTGCCTTGGGCTCCAAGGTCCTTGTGTCTCGCCTTATCATCCATGGGACTTTATCACGTCAATCGCCTACCACTTCCTGTTCGACCACAGGGCCTCTTTTATGGGCTGTTTTTTGTCAAATTTGTCCTAGTGCCCCAAATTGTCATGGTATTTGCACCTGGGTTGGTGTACCTTTTCACACACAAAACGAAGAAAGACTAGAGGAAACTCCATGTTCCAGACTCTTACACCTTCAAAAACCAACAACTTTCTCCTTTATTTTGGCACTTCAGATTTGTTTTTAAAGTTCCAGTGTTAATTGTTTTTCTTGTCTTAAGTCACTTTAAAAAAAAGTTATTTTGCTCAATCTATGACTTGTATTCTTTTAAAGAATGTGAATGGGGTGAGTATCAAAGTTTTCACATTTGGAGCAAATGTACCTTTTAAATCCTGTATTTCATAACTAAAGATTGTTTGTGGGAAAAGAAGGATGCGTGCCCTATGACAATCATTTGGGGTTTATCATAAGAAAAGAGCAACACTGTGGAATAAAAACATTGTTGCTGAGCATCCTCATCGGTGTCAACATAGTGCTGATGTTTGCCATCGTATTGTACAGCCCGTTCCCTCCAAACATATTACTATGTTGTGTTGTCGACCAATAATATTAATTTCTTATACTCAGATCTGTAAAATAAATGACTGACATGCTGGGCACATTGCAGTTTAGAACCATTTATAAATATTATCTTTTCTTTTCCCAATACATAGGTTTGACTGTACAGATTACAATCTGTTATCATGAGATAAAAACACATTCTTTTTTATTGTTTTTAATGAAACTTTTATCACAGCGATCTGAAAGCTCACATTTACAGACAAGAGAACTCTGCTCAGCAAGCAAATACATTAAAAGAAAAGAAAAGAAAACTTCTTGTCGGGTGGGGCTGAAGGAAAATGATAAGGATAGTTCAGGAACAGCAGTCGTCCCCATATCTTAATCCCAACATTGTATCACACACCGGTGACACAGCAGACGTGTCTGCTTGAGCTCATGGAAAGAGTAGAACATGCATCAGACTATTTACAATAAACTAATATACACAGACAGCTCCAAACCATACAGCCTCACATTTCCCCAACTTAAAAGGTCTTACTTAAATCAAGTATGATACAGTTTATACCTTCATTTCTGTAAAGATAAGTAGGGCATCGCTCTGGTAGCAGGTAAAACTGAGGACGAACAGAAGACAGTCGGGGACTTTGGACTGCCTCTTTTTAGATATTCTTCATCAGACATCCAAAATAAAATGTTACAGACAAATGGTCTATAACCTTTCCCACATATACAAATAACTTTAATATTCTCACTATCCCCCATCTCTATGACACAAACTCCAAATACTTTATGGAGTTTCTGGATGCTAAAATTTCTCTTTTTTGTCATTGTTGCAGTAGATCTGGCTTACTTTACAGATTCGAACAAGGCCAGTGTATTGGAATGGCTGATTTAGAGATAGTGAATACTTTCTATGAGGTGGAACGGGGCCGTTTTCTCTCACAACGGACTTGCCTGACTAACCAACCTGAGCTGGTTGGAGTGTAATAGAATGGAATATCTGAGCCGGTATTTACAACTTGTGCTAGAAAGTCTGTACATCTTTGCCAGTTTAAAACATTGTTTTCTCGTCATACTCTCATTCATCACTGCATTGCAAATCATACAATAAAAGGAGCCTATGATAGTCTGCTGTCACCGATCAGAGATCCGACTTATCACACGTCCCCTTTCTCCAAATTCAACCATCAGAACAACCAAGTAAGTAACATACATAAAGTGCACTCTTAGTTATGAACGTTTCAGGCATTCTTAGTGCCAAAGTAGCTGAATTAGATGGAAATGCATTGTGGGTAAGAACAAAAATGAATGCAGAAGAAAGGGAACAGGTCTAATAGGGGGGAAGTATGCATTTGCTTGCTTGTACCTGCTGAGCACTAACCACGTGCAAAGGAGGGACAAAGGCAAACTTTGACAATGAACCATACAATAAAAATCACTTGCCATTACATTATTTATAACTGGCCAATATCACTCAGTTAACGAAGATTTAGTAATCCTTTAGACAAATTACAACTTGAAACAATATTATTACAGCCTCATAGCCTAATATAAGCAGCCAGTAAGGCCTCATCTGTTAGTCATATTTGGCAAGTGACATGTTCACAAAGAGCTAGACTATTTCTTTAAAGAGAGTGTCTTGAACGTTTGACATCCAACATAATATATTATAGAAAGCAGTAAACACTGCAGCCATTTTACAAAAGAAAATCATCTAGAATTTTGACTCAAATTTGCTGATGTGACTGGTTTGCAGTATTAAAACCACACAGATTATGCAGACAATGAATGTTTAAAAAATGCATATGTGCTGTGTGGTATTTTTATTTTAAAGATTTAAAATTAGGATTAAAAGTCTTCTTTTGAACTATATATGTGTTCTGATAGACTGGATTTACTAAATTAAGTTCCACAGAGTTATTCAAAGGAGTGGAAATTATCTTGGAATGTTGTTTCCGGATGAAAACTATTTTTTTCAAAACTAATTTCCAGATGGATACGATCCATGCCATAAAATCATCCTTTTTTGACACACTACTACATGTCAAAGTTTGTCTTTGTCCCTCATCCTTCGCTCTGACCAGTTTTCCACGCCCACGACTCGCAGTGTGACAGAGAGGCAGGGTTAATCAAATGAAATTCAAAATGCAAACTATGCTTTGTTTAATTTCTATGTACAATATATAACTTAATTATAAATATTGTCATTTTTCTCTAAGTACTGAGTTGTTGAGCCATTTCTATTTTCTGAGCAATGTACAGTATTGAACAGATAATATTGTATTACATAGAATAGAGCCTACTAGCAACCTTGGATAAGAGCACACTTTGAAAGAAGAGAAGATGGATTCAGAGTCCACAAGTAGAGTCTGATGAGTTGCAACCTTCCCCCTTACAGTCCCATCTGTTGCGGTCACTTGTGGGAACTTTGTGCCACTCAACGTTTTGTCAGTGCACTGGTCTTTGATTGTGAGATCACTACTCAGAACCCTCCTGTTATTCAACCCGTGTGCGGAGTATGATTATGAGAGAACCACTTTAATGGAAATGACGTTTATTTTTTTTTTCATATCAGATCTTGTCTAATAACACGTGAGAGCCAGATGTGTGTTTTTCTCTGACTGGATTTTTCGTCTTGGGAGTTCTTTTGGGGGGAGTTTGTTCATGACACATACAGCGATGGCATGTCACATCTGTGGCATGTCCAGATAAATATTATAGCACACTCTCTTCCACTTCACAAGCCCAGTCCATCCATCCAATCACACATTCGACTCCACAAATGGTCTCTTTGGTTTGATGGGGGACGTGGGGCCTTGGGTCCGCGAGTCACGGGACAGCTGGCGGTACATGTTGTCCTGGTAGGCTTGCGACACGGGCAGAGTCCTCGCCACCTTCACGTCCGGGTAGGTGGGAACCTGGCTGACCCGTTCCAGAATGTCGCCGCTCCCCCGCGAGCCGTTGGCCAGCTTCCCCAGGGAGGGCGGCTGGGTCTGGGAGTAGTAGTCCTCTTCCAGTAGGTGTCCGTTCTGGGCGTTGTTGGTCTTGTTGTAGTACGCGATGTTGCCCAGTGAGGCCGGGGGGCTGTAGGTGGAGCCCTGCTGGACCAGCTGACCGGGCGAGGTGGGGCTGATGGCGGAATCCATGGAGGTCATGGCTCGGGACCGGGTCGGCTGGTGCAGGTACTGCTGAGTCCGTGCCGTCTTGTCTATGATGCCCATGAAAGGTGTGTTCCGAGAGCGGGTGGCCTCGCCCTGATACAGCCCCCCGCCCCCCTGCGAGGGCGAGATGGGCGAGATGTCGTCACAGCTGCGCTCGTACGTGGGTTGCAAGGGGATCTCCATCTGCTGGATGGACGAGGAGGGCCTGAAGTTCGGCGCCAGGTTGGACGTGGATCCGGTGGAGATGTTGTTGCTCGAGGGGGAGAACCGCAGGCCCACGCTCTGGGAGTGGATGAGGGGCCTGGGGGTGGGCACGTGCTGCTTCATCTCGGTGGTGTTGGCGCTCACGGGGCGTCTCACCATGTGCGGGATCTCCGGGGAGCCGAGCTGACAGGGAGGCATGGCGTTGGCGCGCTCCAGGACGTGTTCGGAAACCGGGTAGTAGGCGGCGGACTGGCTGCGACTGATCTGGGGCGTCTGGCTGTAGCGGACGCCCCCCGGGCCCCCGCTGCTGGCGCGGTAGGCAGAGGAGGGGCGCTGGGGTAGCTCATCCTTCAACAGGTTGGACTCCATGACCCCTCCTCGGCCACCGTGCTGACAGAGGGCCCCAGAGCTGAGGCTGGCCTGGACCTGGGACATCCGTCCGTCCAGGGAGGGCTGGTACACCAGGCGGCTCTCCACGTCCACCGAGCCCCCCTGGTAACGGCCGCCCATGGAGTGACCCATCTGGCCCACGAAGCTGCTGTTGCCCATCATGTTGCTGGGCTGGTTTGTGCGGACGATTTGGGCTATGGAGGGCTGCAGGCGGAGGCCTTGGGCCTGGTGGTGCTGGGAGGAGAGCGAGGGCTGCGAGCTGAGCTGGAACGAGCGCTGGCTGCTCATCTTGGAGAGCGGGGACTTGGGCCGGCCCGGGTGCTGCTCGGTCTGGTAGCGCACGGGCGACCCGGACTGCGACCTGTACAGGCAAACGCCTTCTATGGGCGGGCTGGCTCTGTACTGGGCGGCCCGCCGTAAAGGGGAAGGGGGCGGGCTCTGGTGGTCCATCCCCTGACCCCCCGTGCCCATGGGAGGCGGGCTGAAGCGGTAGGAGGCCTGGTGCACCGGGGAGGTGTGCGGGGGACTGTGGCGGTAGTGGGAGTTGTGATGCGTCGGGGAGAGGGAGGGCGACGTGGGCTGGTAAGAGCCACGAGTCGGGGAGGACATGGAGGAGGAGGTGGGCAGGTACTCGTAAGGCTGGCCCATGGGCGAACCCCCAGCTAGGTAAATCTGATCCGGATGCGTGGGGGACAACGGCGGGCTCTGGATGATGGGAAGACTGGAAAGATTGCTGAGAGAGTCAGGCGGGGGCAGGCCCATGGACATGGCCTCCAGCTCCTGCTCCAGGTAGCGCTCGTCCTCAAACAGGTCCTGAACCGGCTCCATGTCCTCCAGACGGGGCTCCGGGGGAGGAGGGAGGGGCATGGACAGGGACAGGGATTCCTCCTCGTCCGCAGGAGGCGTGGGCGGAGGGGAGGGAGGAGGCTCCAGCTCCAGATCCGTCTGCTGGTGCTCCTCCTGACTGAGCTGATGGCATTCGTCCTCCACCCGCTGGAGCAGCCGCTGGATCTCTCGGTTATTGGGGCACTGCTTTATGGCTTCATTCAGGTCCTCTAAGGCTTCAGGAAATTGTCTGGGAAAAAAGAAGGAGGGTGTTTTCAGGGAAGGTGACACCATCTCGGGAGTCACATACTGAGTCACAAAGTGTTTTTTGGAGCGTACCTGCTGCTACGTTTAGCGCGGGCCCTGGCGTAAAATGCCTCATAAGAATTTGGTTTCAGTTCGAGGGCCTTAGTAGCGAATTCCTCAGCCATCCCAAAGTCCTGCAGAGATTAAGATAAAAAGAAGAAAAAAACTAAACGTGATCAACAGCATCAGCATTATCAAATTTAAATTAGATCAAATAAGATCACTTAAGTTGGGTCCACAGTCTGTGGCATTTTGGGTATTTGTCATCTTTTTCTTGATCCCATGTTGACTTACGTTCATTTTCCTCCGACATCGGGACAGGTTGAGGAAGAGCGATACTTTGAGTTCCCTGAAAGTCTTGAGGTCCTCGCTGAAGCCTTCGCGTGGAAATTTTTTGAGAGCATACTGGTAACGCTGCGCGGCCTCTTTCACCTTCCCCTTCTGCGACAGAAAGCCACGAAAGTGTTTATTTTTCTACATTTCACACAACAAAATAGGCCAATCGGTCCTTTCTGCAGAATACGTTTCTATTCCAGAATGTTCTAACCAGCTCAATCATTTTGTCGGTCGGACTTAAACCTTCAGTGGAAAAAATACATTTTCATCTATGGATGCGAATTTGATCCGAACGCTGAGATATTCTCTCACCTTGTAAAAGCTGTCCCCCTCCTCGATGAGCTTACTCAGCAAGATGATCATGATGTCGGGTTTGGAGGTGGCCATGGCCCACGTGGCTGGACCTGCGCAACAAAGGAGGAAACAGATGAAAAAGGATACAGTGAAAAGGGGTGCAGAAATAAAGGGGCCTTTAGGAGGAAGGAAGGAGCGACTGGGAGACACACTACACACAACAGTAATAACAAGAATGAGGACAACAGCCAAAATGGTGGATGGAAGAGAGAAGACAGGCAATCCACTGTGGAGAAAAGATTACAAAAATCTGCTCTGACACTTCATCGTAACCTTGCTTGGGGACATCGGGCCTGGGTCAAATACTGTTTGCAAGTATTCTTTTAATCTAACAAAAAGTTCTCGATGATTGTGACAAAAAAACAGACCATTTGAATGATTACGAAAATAGCTTTTTGGAATTAAAAGCGAAAATGTATCTGCAAAGAGGATCTGACCCAGAGAAAAAAACTATTACATAATGTATAAAACAGAAAGATGAAATCAAATAGCCCTTATATTTTCCTGCGGAGACTTTTTCTGTCTTGTCAAGAAGTGCAGATGTACAGTCATTCTCTACGTTTGAGACTTGCTCCAGGAGAAGCAGGAAACCAGATCTACTTCTATTAAACAAATCGAACCCCCTGCAATACAATGCCTGGACTGTAGCTGATGTGCCCCTGGTTGCATCTGCGCAACAGCAATCCTTGACACGGGGTACACACACGCCACGGCGACGAAAGAAGGAGGGAGTCTTGCACAAATAGACACGGGGCAGGTACGATACACAGAAGAGGCAAGCAGGAGGGATATAAGAGGGATTTGCAGGCTTGAGCTGTCCGCTGAGCTGCCGTTGAGGGGAGAAGTACAGCTGACTGGCCTGGCCTGACACTGACGGCACGTCTGGAGGATGAGGGATGCAGAGAGTTTATCACTGTAGTCTGTGGTGGCGGGGGGCACAGAGAGTGGAATTACAAATGCATGCATCGCGGCCGGATCGCCATCACACAGGTGCGACTGAGAGCCTTTGTCATGCATGTTTTGTGGGATGGAAGGTCAACATCTCAATACGACGTCACAGGCTTGAGGCTGGGCATGCTGTCGTTAACCACTCGGGTGTTAGCATCTACCTCTAGGCAATCCCGACTGCATCACTGTCAGTGCTAATACCTTTTGTGTGTTATTATTTGTCAGTTTTGAGAAGGTTTTGGTAGCTAAGCTCGCCTGCCGACACTTAGGATGACACAGACAACATAGAGAGAGGAGATAGAGCTGTCAAAATGCCTGGTAGGGTGAGAGGTCGACAGCCTTGGCTTTACCTCGGGGCCGACTGGGCAGCGTCTGACATCCTGGTGCCGGAGACAAGAGTTGGGGGTATTGGGGCAACAGTGGGGTAAAAGGGGGTAAGGTGGGGGGGGGGGAGAGGGGGTGGAAGGAGAGTAAGTGGAAGGGCAGAGTGGGTCAGGCAGAATTGCCAGAGAAAGCAGTGGGAGTGCGAAGGAGTGAGAGGAAAGAGAGATATAAAGACAGCGTGAGGGGTGAAAGAAACAGAGAGGTGGTAGTGGAGGAGGAGAAGTGAGAAAAGGAACACAAGCAGCAGTGAGAAGCGAAGGAGATAACTGCCTCAGCAAAAAAAAAAAAAAGATACAGAAAGAAACACCACCAGCGCTAATAACAACCTGTCTCTGAGCAACCGCAGAGGAACAGGGATAGAGGATGTGATTGAGAAAGAGAAACGAGCAATAGAGACAAACAGAGGCGCTGAGAAAGCGTGACAGAGAGAGAGAGAAAAAACTAAACAACACGGTGGTACAGTTGTACAATCAAAAAGAAGTGAACATCAGTGCCATAAATAGCCGAGGAGAGGCAGCGCGGTGCAGCAGTAAGGGGGCGGATGACATCCAGCATACGGGGAGAGGCTTTCGCTACATGGAGACACAAACCTGAATCCATGGCTTACTGCAACACAATGCCACACTGCTGTATAACAACCAACGGGAAGCGTGCGCTTTACAAAGGGCCGCTCGCCCCTCTTTGGATTCATTCTTCATACGTGCATCGTTGAAAAGGAACGCATCGCCTCCATGTCCCAGATCTTATTTATCAGCTATTCGATTAAACACGGACGTAACAAAGAAAGGGGGCTGCACTCCCCGTGTGCTTGACAGGGGTCCGTTCGGTTTGTAAACCCGTTTCTTACCTATTTTGGCTCCTTTCTTGAGCAGAGCGACCACCACCGATGTATTTCTGCAGCCCACCGCCCTGTCCAGAGGACGCATCCCACTGTAGTCCACGTGCTCTATCATGGCCCCGTGATCCACCAAAAACTGGACCTGAGAAGACGGAGGAGTGTGTGTGGCAAAAGAGTCAAGGACCAATTCAAAGACAGGTTCATTCACATGAATACTGTCAACATAATTACATATGTCAGACAAAATGTGTTTTTGTATTGTTAGATTTTAGAGAAGCATGCAATACATGACAAGTCTGATATATAAAGCAGTTGATGGGGGTGTCTTTTTTTTTGTCCAATCAGCACAGAAAACCCCCAAAATTAATCCCCTATTTATTATAAGAAGACCCACTCAGCAAAAACACCACACAGCTGTAGTTTCTCTGACAATTCTACACAGAAATGTCATTTTTACTCATAAATAAACACAAATCTAACATTAATGTCGACTCAGATAATATGTAACCGACTGTTTGAGAAGTCAGGACACATTTCCCATTGGGATTCTCCAGACGTACCACTTCAGAGTCACCGTAGAAAGCTGCCAGGTCCAGGGGCGTGCGTCCGTTCTTGTCTGCGTGGTCAGTGGCAGCCCCGCTCTCCACCAGACAGCGGACCACAGGTAAATGTCCTTTCAGACAGGCCCAGCTCAGAGCGGTCAGACCCTCTTTATCCATCTGAGACAGCGAGGCTCCTGGAAAAAGGGACGAGGAGTCTTTGAAAACACCACAGGAACAAAAAAAGAACTGGCTGATGACAAGCCCATCTGTATCTATAAGTGGATTTTTCCACAGTAGTTATCCCACTCAGCATCTGTTAGGTGTGACTGACATAAACACACACTAAACCGAGATGTGAGGCAAATCCATTTAAATTCATAGCTGTTGATATTCGGAACATTTGCAACAAGACACGGGAAGTTTTCAATCTGGACTCTTTTTTTCTATTCATAAGTATATTTTTACGGTTCAGTTTGTAGTTGGATTTTAGCTTTGTCGAACATATTCTCTGCAAGGCAAAAATCCCAGGCTTGCAACAACCCCGTCTTAAATCTTTCATTTGGACAGCTTACCTTGCGCTAGTAAAAACTCGACCGTTCCCAGGTGACCCTCCGAGGCAGCCATCATCAGCGGCGTCCGGCCCTGTTTGTCAGCCAGGTTGACATCTGCTCCGTGAGTCAGCAGGAGGTCTACAATCTGCACAACCCGAACGAATGATCAGTTAGCTGTAAAACTGCAGCACAACAGTTGTTTTCATCATCTTTTAATCTGCCAGTCTGTCAAGAGAATATCCAAAAGAAAAAAGATTACATTTCCATCCCAAATTTTTCTAAAGCTTAAGCGGACTTATTGACGTGTTTTCTTATCTAAATATAAATCCAAAACCTAACAAGGTTCTGTTTGTATTGAAAGCACCACATTCTCATTTGTGAGCCCTCGACCATAAAATGCCAAAGTTTTAGCTTAGTAAAAATCACTAGAAGTATCCCACGGCGGAGGATTAATCATACGGTGACAATAGTAAATCAAATAAAAAAATGAATGGATTCATATGTGAAAGATGTTCTTTTTGTGCCTTTTTGTACCTGCCAGTGGCCCTGTCTGACGGCGCTGAAGAGGGGGACGATGCCCCGCCTGTTGGGCTGAGCCACGGCCGCTCCCTGCTCCAGCAGCAGGCGGCACACCTCCAGCTTCCCCCGACCGGAGGCTGCGGTCAGAGCTGTGCGTAGCAGGAGAGAAGAGAGAGAATTCGTTGGGTGGAGTTAGACACCTTTAGCTGGTCTTTTACGCCTTTATTCCAATGGTTTCAAAATGAAAACATTGTATTGGAGATAGGGTATCTGTTATACAGTGGGGGAAATAAGTATTTGACCCCTTGCTGATTTTGCAGGTTTGCCCACTTACAAAGAATGCCTATTTTTCCTCATCAGATGGTTATCAATTTTTTATAAATTCATATGATGTGATTTTCTGGAATTTTCTTTGGGATTCTGTCTTTCACTGTTAGAATGTACATATGATTAAAGTTACAGATTGTTGCATTCTTTGTAAGTGGGCAAACCTGCAAAATCAGCAAGGGGTCAAATACTTATTTCCCCCACTTTAGGTTTTGGACTAAATCAACCACGATCACTTGGATTATCTGAGACTTTAATCGTTACTGTTGAACTGTATAAACAATCAAAATAAAACAAAAAGAATCTGACTGGGTCCAATGCTCCCTTTTAAAAAAAGGAGACGACACCTTTTTTGTTGTTTTCCCCAGACTGATTATAATTGGAATGATTCCAGCAGTGTGAAGATACTTTTTTTTTTTAATCAGACCCAAACCACAGCTATTTATTCTTAGATGGAAGAACACAAGAACATAAGGTCCGCGTGTCTGTAATTCCTAAATACGTAGTCTCCCCAGTCTCCCCCCCCTCTCCCCGAAATCATCTTGCAGAACAGCTGTTATCCTGCTGATCCCGTACAAACAGTGAAGGTATGGCTGAGTGAGCGCATGTTCCCCACCTCAGCTGGCAGAGAGGAGGAGCCGTTTCGGCTCTGCAGCCGGGGGGGGAATCGAGACTGTAATGAAGTTTTATAGCCTTGGGTTAGAATGATACATTAGGGTTTTCAGCGCCCTGTCACAGTGCGATCAGACTAGTCATTCTAAGCCCCCTGCAGCGCCCTCACCCCCCCCTGTTCGGTTTGAGCCCAGCCCCGAACGTGCTCCAGTCACACCACTGCACTGTCATCTGCATCTGACGCAGCAGCAGCCGACACACAAGAGCAATGGCTCCCATCCGCACTGCAGAGCTCTGCCTCGCGGCGCCACACATGGTCCCCACTCCTAGTCTCAGGATGAGCGTTTGCAAACATCTGAGGGGATCATATGATGATGCAGTCTCGCAGAAGTAATGTCTCATGCGAGTATTCCCACCTGTCTCTCCCCAGAGGGTGTCAAAGTTATTGATCTGTGCCCGTTCCACCTCTTCTTCATCCTTCTCAGGCAGATCCAGCAGATATGAGACAATCTGACGAGGAATAACATGATATTTATTAATGACAATCTTTGTATTTGCTTATTTTAAAAAAACCTTTCCCTTCTTATGTGCTAACCTCTAAAATTCATGAAAACATGAATGTTTTTTCTTTACAGGATAACTAACAGGTCTATGGAAGAAAATATTTAAATTATTGAAAACGTACTTTCCTTATTTATTTGTCCTTAGATTTCATCTCAGAGAAAAACCAAATGCTGCCAACCAATTTTCATTAAGTTAATAAAACTATTGATAAATAGTAAATAGTACAAAAAAATGGTAGATGGTGGGGGGAAATGTGTTTAAAAATGTATTTGCACTTAAATGAAAACACTCCATAGATAAAACTAAAACAGTAATTCATATGCACACCATTTACAAAGTAAAAATATAAAGAATGAAATGTTTCTTATATTTCCACTCTAAATTCCTCAGTCCTGTTTTAGCATTTCTCATTCCCTATTCAGTCAAATTGGACGTTTCTTTACGAAAACAAGCACAAAATGAAAACGTAAAGCCTTTCTTTGAACAAAAAACATCTAAAATAACATAGCATGTGCCGTACCTCCGTGTATCCCATACTGGCCGCAGCAATGAGGGCTTGCTGGACCGCGTGGCTCTTGCTGAAGGCCTGCTGCTGCTGGCTCTGCGGTGACTGCTGCTGCTGGTGTGACCCCATGCTCCAGTCACACTGTATGAGGAACTTCACCACCTCCATGTGGCCCCTGAGGGCCGCGTGGACCAGAGCGCACTGGCCGTTCTTATCCAGGTGATCCACCTTTAATCAGACGCACAAAAAAAAAAGATCACACAAAAAACGCCTTTTACGGGGACGCGGTTAAAAAGGCCGAGCGGCTGGTCGTCGTCGTGGTTCCTCGCTGACCTTTGCCCTCCTGCGACAGAGAGCGGTGACGATGGCCATGTGACCGCCGGCGGCGGCGTAGCCCAGCGGCGCCAGGCCGCTTTCCGACTGGGCGTCCACGGAGGCCCCGAACTCCAGCAGCAGCGCCACCATGTCCATGTAACCCAGGTGCGAGTGGACGCACAGGACGGGGGCGTTGTTCAGCACCTCCGTGCGGTAGTTGACGTTGGCGCCGCCCAGCATCAGCAGCCGGCTCACCTAACGAAAGAAAATAAAAAAAAACCCTTCTGTGAGGCACTCGCGCGAAAAAACGAGACGCCGAAGCATCCCTCAAAAAAAAGTCTGTACCTTGATGTTGGGCGTGTAGAGATTTCGGAGTGAAGAAAGCGCCGCTGAAAGGCCCTCCGTACTGTAGGAAACCCACAGGCCTTGCAAGATAGATGAGGAAACGCCTACTCTTTTGCTCAGACCCTTGAAGACAGCGTGTAAATATTCATTACCAGAAAGCTCAGGCACAGCTGCTGCGTGGGGGCGTGTGTTTGTGTGTGTATATGGCTGAGTGGTGGTGGTGGGGGGACATATAATGTTATACCTTGAAGATATGTGCTTTGAGGATGTGATGGCCCAGCTCAATAGTCTGCTGTCTGTTCAGCTTGTTCTCCTGGCGAGAGAACCAGAAGGCCAATAGGGTGTGCCCACTCCTGCAGGGAAGATAAACACAAAGTCTTTCAAAGACTGAGTCATGGGGTCATTACATTGTGCTGTGTCTGCGCAGTGGGCAGAACTGGTTTTAATGATCATACAGGACACAGAATTCTATTTTTCTGCAGGAAAAAGCATCGTTTACCAGCTATCAAGCAAGAGAAATCTTTTCATGAACACTGACTACGTGACTTTGGAGTCAAGGCTGCAGCCTGCAGTACATTCCAGCATGTTAAGCAACATCACAAGAGTAAAGTATCCGTTCCGACTCTCTAATATCGATTTTCTTTAGTAAGATTTTCTTCTTTTTTCTTTAAAACAGGTGTCTCACATCATGAAACATGCTTTTTTCTTCTCTTGTAGCACAGTCAGCTGGTGGATCACGGTCGGTCATCCATCCATATGAATTATTCCATTTGATTTAGTCAAAAACGAAAGTTGCTTATAATTTCCGAATTCTGAACATAGACAGCATAGACGGCAGCGTCGCACACAGAATCACCTCCCGCCGATCCATTACACATCTCCTCACCTCGGATCGCAGAGGAACTTTGTCTTTTCTCCCTCCTCTCTCCAGATCAGCCACTCTCTAAAGGACGGGTGAACAAACATCCGGGTGCCGTCCCTCCTCTTCACGAGGAAAACAGACAGGTTGTCCACACGTTGCTGGAAGTCCTCCCAGTCCAGGGTGCCCTGCAGGCATCACAGATGTTAAGAGTTTTTCCAAAATCTAATAGGGCTTTCTCAATGCAAAATTACATTCTTTATTAAAAGAACCGGCACCAATTAAGGTAGTCAGTCTCCCTTAATGATCCGGCTAATTAAAAGCTAAATATGAAGAAAAATGGGCAGGAGGAGTAAAACCCAAGAAATGAATTGTTCATAATTGTTCGTTTAACATTGGATAACAAAAAAAATGAATGAAAGATGACCCACTGGCTGCTGTCATCCTACCTGCAGCGAGCCGGCGTTGATGGCCTGATAAATCTGCTCGTCGTTGAGCGGGTGGAGCGAGGCCACGGCCACGTTGAGCAGCGGCAGCGCCCGCTCAAACGACGACTGCGTGGGGAAGCGCATGTTGCACTGCAGCAGGTACACCTCGGCCAGGTTGACCGGAACAACCTGAGAAGGGGGAAGGAGACGGTCCGACTCATCACTTTCCCCGTCTATATCGGTTCCACACAGTTTGAATAACGCACGCCGTGCGCAAAATGCTTCTTTGACTGCTCCACGAGGTCTGCCGAAGATAGAATATCAGTTCGCCGCTCTCAATTTTTCCATTTTTGACGGGAAGTATCGAATTAGATTTGCTTTTCATCAGCCGTTCCACAGATAACACTCACATAGATGCGCAGAACACTTTAAAAAATGTCTCTGAAGCCAGTTACCAAATGGAATCCACGAACGGGGGCCTGATTTGTGATGCGCATTGCTGTTTCCAGCTGTAAATCACAGCCATTGCTGCTCCACCAGCTGGCCATGTTAATGACGGGATGAATCAGTGGATACCCTCCAGCTGTCAACAGCAAAGTATTTCGGAAACACCTTCACATGTGTCTGTACATTTTATTCTCCTCTGGATCGTTTTTCTCGCGTCATTCGTTTCACACCCCGATTCAACAAAGTGTCAAATCCTCCGGTTGCGAAATATCAACGTTATTCAAAGCAATGAAGAGCATTAGAAATAAAAAGAAATTTAAAAAATCCTTACCTTGTAGCTTGAACTTTTGAGGACAAGGTAGCCCTTCTCAATGAGGTCAAAGGTGAGTTTGAGGTACAGATAGGATCCCTGACTCAGGGCCTTCAGGTGGGCGCTGAGCTTGCCGAAGGTGGTGTTGTCCATCTTCCCGTTGAGCGAGATGTTGTTCTGGATCTCCGGGCTGCTGTGGATGCGGTGCAGGATGTAGCCCTGCAGGTCCTGGTCTATGGCGTCGTTCTCCTCCAGGCTGTCCAGAGAGATCCGGTGAAAGGGCAGCGTGCTGGTGATCTCCTGCAGAGTCAGAATCATTTCAGTCTGGACGCATTTTTTAGCAAATCTATGCCAAGTCGCTGACTTCTTAATTTGCAGACAAGAAAAGTGCATTTAATAGTGAAATAACCACCAGGAAACAGCCAAAAGCGCTGTATAATATTACGTTAACAAATTAATTATTCAATACAAATCCAGAGTTATCCTGTAATGTCAGAGAGAGGATTTATTGGCAGTGGGATTTCTACCTGTAACGTGGTTCTGACTGTGACCACCAGTTTAAGCCAGGGAGGGAACTTGTTGATGGTTTTGGTGAGGAAGGACACAATGGTGTCCCCATAGTCCGGCTTGTGGAACTCTGCCTCGTTGAGGCCGTCGATGAGGATAATGAGATCTTCTTCAGAGTTGATCTTCCTCTCTGAACAGTTGGCATGGAAACAGAAACAACTTAGAGCGTGCGTGCGCAGTATATTCACAAAAGCAAATTGAATTCCGCTTCAACTAAGCCAAAAATCATTACGCATCCGCCTGGGCCACAGATTTACAACATTTATATGATTGCAAGGTAAAGACAAAAACATTAACGGAAGCTGCACTTTAACCAAATTGAACCCAAATCAATTAATACACTTGACAGAGATTTCTGAAGAGGCAGAAACTCTAAAAGATGAGACAAAGATTAAAAAAAGACTGGAAAATCCAAAGGCAAAACATTTCAAAGACGGGACTGGACTTAAATAGAGGTTCAAAATGTATTTTACAGAGTTATTTTCCACCACTCTCAGAGGTTTGAAGACCGTCTGAAATACCTTTGTAAAGTGCGTCCAGAGGCTCCAGGACCCCCTTCCTGAAAGAGGCCAGGGGGTCCTGGACGCAGGAGCGCAGGCTCAGGGTGCCCTGCAGGTGGGGCTCCCTCAGCAGCTGCTCCCTGTAGGCCACCAGGTGCGGCGAGCGGCACAGCAGGGCCGCCACGTTGTGCACGAACTCCGGCACCAGGCAGGTGTAGGCGTTGTCCGCCTGGCAGTAGTGGTACGCCACCACCTGGGGGCGACGGAGAGGTGTGAGACGTGGAGAGAAACTCCCAACCTTGATCAACCTTTGGGTATTGCAAAACCGATTGAAGAAGTGTCGGGGAGCACCGAGGGGTGGATGACACACTTGTGGAATAACATTTTTTTTTTTCCAGGGCTCTGCTAGTGCACAGTCAGTTTTTTTTTTTTCTTTCTTTTTTTCCCAGTGTCTACTACAGCTAAAACTCATTTGGGACTAAGTCAACTTCATGGTGGATGATTGCAGCATAATGAAACATAATACTTCTCGTTTCGCTGTATGGATTTAGCCATTAATAATTCATTGCTTCCGGCAGCCAGGAGAGACTGATTCGGAGTTAGCTCGTGCATGTGTGAGATGGCTGTCTCATGAAGGAGTCGAATGTTAAGCCGTTGCGTTGCAGTGCCACGTGTTTGAAACACGATCACATGAGTGATTATTCAGATGAATGGGTGAGTGGGCATGAAGACACCCGTGCATCTCTGTAAAAGTGAACAGGAAATTAAGGGGGAGGTTAGCCAACTGAACAGCGGGTGTGACCGGGGGCTCCAGGGGGATTAAGACATCACAAAGAGTTTGAGCTTTCAGAGGTGGTGGGAGCGATTACAGGGCAGTGAGAAAAAGAGAGGATATAAAAAAAAAAAAACGAACTAATGAAATTGGAATGCTAATTTTTGGTCACTATGGAATCAAGGGCTTTAAAACAAAAGGGGTGAAAAAGGGAGTGAGCTCAATTATTAATGCACAGAGTTAACAAGATCTAATAGCCTGGCTGGGAAACGGCTTTCTGCAGGTTTAAATATTTCATAAGGCTCCCTGGCAAAGTTGTTTTTTCTTTTTTAAACACATCTGCATAATGCATCAGGCTGGGACCGTGGATGCAGATGGCTAACCAGCAGGGAAGGGGGATCGAGGTGCAACAGACAGGAAGACGAACACGAGAAGAGAGCTGGTCTCACACCTCGTCCAGGTTTATATTATGGATGGAGCAGAAGTTCAACACACGCATTTAACACGACAAACAGCAGGCACTGTAAAAAAAAAAAAACGGGCTAAATGAAAGTCTAGACTTATAGACAGCTGTTTTGTATTCTATAACCTCAGGACAAAGAGCTGTGTGGGTGCACCAAGGTGATGTCAGCGGCCTTTAAATGTATCATTTCTGATGGATCCTGTGTTTTGTAGAGGGACTTTCAACAGAAGTTGTCAGCACTTATTCTCCTATCTGTGCTATCACTAACAGAAAAATGATCTAACATAAATTTTGGGAGACATCTAAAAATGATCTTGCAGTTTTTATTCAAAGGGATTTAGGAAATTTCATGACTTTCCGTACCCAGAAGATAATAACCAGAAAAGCTGCTATTCTTTGTTAAAAATCCGCAATAAATCAACTGCAAAGAAGACTGAAATTATTTTGACACAATACCTTTCTAAGTATGCAGCAATCAAGTGGGAGCTGACATTTCTCATTATTTTCAATAAATTGAGTTATTTCTTAAAGAAATGGCTAGCTAACATACTAGGAATTTGTATGAGCAGCTATAGGGAAAGGGTTAACCGTAAGTAGCATAAGTAAATTCTTAAGTCTCTAGGAGTGTATTGTCTTTAAATGAGAGGATCACAAGTAAATAAGGAGTGGCGTGTTTGCACCTGAGACGCCAGCCTCCTCATGCCCTCCTCCTGCCGTCGCCTCATCTCAGGGGTTCCTGGACAGCTGCCTCCTCCGAGGGTGCCGTGCGTAGGCTGGGGCTGGGTGAGAGGAAGCCCCTCTCCGTCTGAATGAAAGGCAGCAGAAAAAAACCCACTCATCGGGAAAGCTCGAGCTCGAGACGCATTCACAAAATGTTTTCAAACAGTTATTCTCAAAAACAAAAGCCGAGGCGAGGCTGTGGAGCTGTTCTGAAACGCTGTAATTTGCGGACTGAAAGCGAGCAGGGGGGAAAATGATATTTAAAAAGAAGAAATGGATCTGTGGTAACTGGATGCCTACGTTTGGGGGAGGCTTGAGGGCTGTCGGAGGCAATCTGCCTCATCCGGGTGCCGTGGCAGCTGAGCGCCACCAGGCGAGAGATGATGGCCGTCTTGCCGAAGCCGATATTGCCCACGATCACGACGCCCTGGTTGGTGCTGGAGTTGGGGCTGTTGAGGTGGCCGTCGATCTCTTGGAAGAGCCACTCGCGGCCGGTGAAGACGGAGTCCATGGTGATGCTGGGCACCTCGAACAGCAGCGGTTTGAGAGCGATGTCTTGGGGCCGGTAGGGTGCAAAACGCACTGCCGAGTCAGAAAATTGAGACATATTTCAGCGGTATTACAGTTATGAGCCACAGGTATGTTATTTGAAGTAACAGTCTCACGCATCTGAAAGAGGGTGTGTTGCTTTTTCTTAATTTTTTTTACTTCTGCTACAAAACATAAAAACTTTGACCTTTTGTGGTCTTTAAATTGATTTTTTTTGTCCTGCCTTGATGTGTAATTTGTCTTAGAAAGAACTACAGTGACCACTTTTATCAGCCACTGTTTCTTTTTATCACTAGGGGGAGTCATTAACCCAAAGTCCTCCAGAGGTTGGGTATCTTCTCAGCCAAACATATGGACCATTAAAGACTAATGAGGGCAAAATGAATCTGGTAGCAACTTCTAAAGGCGTGTGATAAAATAAATGTAAAATGCAGTCTGCTGCTTCTGGGTGTCATCTCATGGGCCTCCTCTTTTAAACCGATTTTGGCTTTGAGAGCCAAAAAAAAACAGGCTCTGTGGTATTGGGTGGGCCTGGTATGTGAATAATCTAAATGCTTTGCAGGCAAGAGCGTTTGCGACATTATTACAGCACAAAACGACTTGACACAAAAGGGGCAGAGCATGCTGCCCGACGCGACCAACCAAAGTTAAAGCAACTTACGTGACTGGGATTGCCAGGCATGGGCGTTATTTGCGGAAGCTGAGACGAAAGAAGCAAAGCACAAGACAGAGAGAGAGAAGAGGAGAGTGATGAAAGAGGAGAAAGAAAAAAAAAGCAAGTGAGGACAAGAATGACAGTCGGCAGCAGTGTGCAGTGTGTCACAGGGCAGGGCAAGGTGGGAAAATAAATGAAGCGGCAGCAAACGGCATCAGCACATAATGATGTCAGAGTTATGGGGAACCACCAAACCAGGGTCGATTTCTAATTGAAATCCTTTGAATCACCTTAAGGGCACTTCTCAGCAGGTCTGGAGGGGAGGCTGGGGGGGAAGGTTTGCACTTTAGGGAGAATCTAATTGGTTCCATTGTGCAGCGCGAGATCAATCAATCCCCATAAAAGTAATTGAATCCAGTTCTGGTAGTAATTTGATCCCAGGATGGGAGACCTCTACTCCACAGCCTATTGTGTACACACAGCAACTTATTAAGAGTTTAATCAAAAGCAAATCGCCATCAGCTCAAATCCAAATCCAAAATGTGAGTGTTTGTGAAAAATTCGGGCAACAAAAAAAAAGACAAATGATACTTTCTCTTGGTTTATTCACTAAACCAACGCGTGATCGGATTGGTGGAGTGTGAAAAAGGGATGCTGCTCAGACGATAGCCCGAGTGGTAGTTCATTTCACACTCTGCGGCATATTAGCAACGAGTGTGCCCAGAGTCAGGGATACAGGGAAAAATGCACTATGCGATATCTGGGTGGGATGAAATGTTGAGAGTGTGCAGAATTTTTCATGTGTTGGCATAAAAGTTTCTGTATTGTGAGCAGGAACAAGAGCAAAACACATCAGGGTGCAGGGAGGGGATGGACGTCGTATTAGAGCTGTATTTCTGCTGTAAGTGACTCCAGTGGACTCATCAGGAGCATAGCTTCATATAACGAGCTGATATCGGCCCTAATGCAGTCTGTAGCATGAAGCACTTCAAAGTGCTGTTGCAAGCATGGCTCCTTTTCCAGGATACTAATTATACTTGCGGACCGAAAGGAAATATGATGATCTCGCTGAGAACGCACCTTATGCAATCAGCAAAATGCTAAGATGCATCTAGAAGTGGGTGAAAAGCTGTTTATACAGAGTGCACGGCCAGCACTGCCTTTCGCAGCGCTAAAGCTGCGTGCCAGCTGCGGCTCAGTGTAATAAAAGACATTTCCTCCATATTCCCCAGGTTAGATTATTTTAGCACTGACTCAACAAACACAAAAAAAATGCATTTGGTCAGACAGCAAGAGGGCAGAGAGCGACTGATGTAATATTCTTCCAGACAAATCTTCCTCTCTGAAGGAGATGACCTGATGCAAGACCGGTGGTTTGACATGCAAAAAAACCTGCCCAATACTTCCTACACCCTCGGCCACTGAGGTAAGAGGCTAAATACCCAGAGATACTCTGTTTTAAGTGGTGCTAATCCAATTATCTTGGGGGTGGCCGAATGCCGAACGTGGCCGCAAAGCTCCGAGCGTCCTTGTGGAATTAGCTAACCCAACCTCGTGCTATCAGGCGCTATCCTTCCAAAACGACTAAGCTGCTTTGCACGCTTCGAGGTGTGCAGCGACCGCTGCTCCAACTGTGTCAGAGCATTCCAGGAAAAAAAACACGGCGGCCATGTTGTGAACGGGGGCCGAGGGAGCCGTTTTTAACGGACGGTGAGGGAAAAATGTGTGCGAGGGATGGATGGATGCATGGCAGGTGCTCATAATCCTGCCTATAACACCCCCCCTCGGGCCACGCTGAGCAAGGTATCACTCCCCCTCCCCTTCCTCCTCCACCACCGTACCTCCATGGCCAGACAGAGCGAGAGTCTCAGACTTTTTAAATTATTCACCAGGTGGGGATGAGTCAGGGTGGCTGAGCAGCCCTGAGAGGGAGGAAGAGGAGGAAGGAGAGGAAGTGGTGGACACGAATGAGAAAAAAGATGGTGGGGAAGGAGAAGAAACGGAGAGAGGAAGAAAGAGCAGTCCTGATTGCTGTGAAGGGTTCAAAGAGCGTGATGATTGGTTCACCGGGTCACCTGAAAACGAAACTTCGTCCCTTCATCTCCCGTCTGGTTTCAAAGCTTCAGCTAAGAGCAAAAGTGGGGATCTTTTAACAGAAGATGTAGAGCTACAGCTTGGGCTTGGAAGAGTACAACCAGAACTACAAGATCTTATATAATTACCGAAATAACAAAAACAAAAAAACCCTCAAATCTTATGTAATCCTCAGAGTAGGCTAAGAGCAAAATAAATAAACTTAGATGTCTACTGCAGCATGCAGCTTCACACTGTCACTGAACACATTTCTAGATATTTCTACTGTTTACCAACATTACATCTACTGGTTAGGCAACAGGAAAACTGTCTGTAAAAGACAGAGCTCAGTGCAACAAGTCCTACAGATTTCCTTTATTTTAAACAAAGGCGGCATCCCAGAATGGTAAATGTCACCATGAGTCCATGTCTCCACTGTGCCCTGAAGCACAAATTTAGTTTTACTGTCAGTTTTGCAACATTATATCCCCATAAAGTTATAAATCATTTTTTTAGTTATGAGATCACACAGGAATAACAGAGAATAAATTGCATATTTATGAGCCATACACCTAGCAGCATGGACTCTCACTGGATATTGTGGCTTATGAATGCCATATAAAAGCCCTGATACTCTCCAAGGAGGTGTCAATCAAAAGCTGAGGAGGCAGGCTTTATTTTCAAATCACTGCATAAAGAATGTGTGGCTGCCAATGGGACTTCATAGAGAAAAATATATGTTACTTCAAGTTTCTTTTTATCATCGCTGGTGTTTAATGTATCCACTGTGGTAATCATATCTTAAAATACTGATGGATTGGTGTATAGCCTTCACATTTCACATCTATGATATAATAAGTGTTGCTTTTGTGGTTTTACTAGAAGCTGCTTCTTAAAATAACCATTTCAAAAGGTATGAAAGACAAAAACTTAAATTAAAAAGATGGATTTTGTTCACGAATTAAGTCAATTTAAAAAAAAAAAAAGGTCCTCAAGATGTGCATTATGTAAATTTGCAAATGACAACTAAAATAGGTTTGGGTTGAAGAAGACTGATAATTGAGCAGTGCTTTTTAAAGAAGGTGTTCCCTGAAATGTCATCTTATCTATTACTATAACTTTTGAAATGAGCATGAACACCATAAAGCAAATACCCCCAAAAAAGAACTCTGATTTAAACAGCAGGTGTGAAGAGTCAAAACTCAACCTTTGAACATAATGAACGAAGTAATCATGAATTTTAACGACGGTCTAAAATTGTTTACATGGCCAAGAAAGTCCCTTTTTACGTCAGAGATAAAGTGTGAATGTTCGTCTCAGGGAGCTGTGTACAGATAAATGAGCTGTATCAGACTGTGAATACATAAGCGAAGCTTCTTTACGGGACAGATTTATTATTTGTTTATGGTATTCTTATTAGGTGTGTTCGCGGTAAGAAATATACCTCAATTTCTCATCAAATACGGCACTAAACTGCATTTCTAAAAGATCTCTACCGTCACCTCCATTAGGGAGTGATAACCCTGTCTGAAAACCAAAAAGATTTTCATTACCACTCTGAATTCATTTCATTTTCAAAAGCCGCAACAATCAGCTCCAGTGCGACAGCTGTTTTCTGTCCATGAGCAGAGGCAGAAAGACAGTAAAGGACGGAGGGAGGGAGGGAGGATGGAGAAGGACAAAAACAAAGAGGGTAAAGTAAAGATAAACGAGGGAGAAAATGTCTGAAGCGGAGCACAGTTATGTGAGAGACTTTGGGTGAAAAGATAAGGTGGGTGGTAAATCTTAGAGGTAGGCAGGCGGGAGCAAAAGAAGGTCCATTACAGTCTGACTCACTCTCCTCCCAACAGCAGCACAGCTTGGGCCCCCGATGGCAGGCATTAAGGCTTTCGATAAAAATCAACCACATAGCGGGCCGCGTCTGTCGACTGGTTACCACCTGACCAATGCGCCACCCACGGTCTTCCACCGCTCTGGAAGTCTGCACCCAGGTCCTGAAACACAGGCCGTGGAGCTCTTTCTGGGAAGCCCTGCACAATTCGCTGTGCGAGTGCAAGCTAGGATTTTGGAGCTTTCGGAAAGACAAAAGGACACGGGAGGTGAACGCGTGATTCATCCTCTGGTAACTTGTCCGATGCTGACTAATCCCACAGAAATCTGGACAGTAGCTACCTCTCGGTGGACTGCCTTGTTGGAAAACCATAGTCCAATACAACCTAACCCTTTAGTCTGGATGGATATGTAAGGCTGTTTTTCAGCCGGCTTGCTTTTGGGTCCTGTCTTTCTGCGCGTCCTCCTCCGTCTCTCCTGCTGAAACCTCAGCAGCGGGGCACTCAGGGAGACTGTGACACTGATCCGAGGAGGCAGAAAGCATGCTAGGACCGGGCCGCCTGCCTTGTAAACACATTTGGCCGCCCCTCGAACCAGCAAGGTTGAAACAAGCAACTCTGGCAGTACAAGTGGAGCCTTTAGAGGGACGACGCCTTTTTCCCTCCGTCTTTCGTCTTTTCTCTCACCTGCCGTGTCCCCCCCCACCTTTCTGCTTCCCTCTAACGCTCCTTTGCCTCCGCTCGCCCCCCCCGAGCAGGAGAAAACGCATCACAGTTCAGTGGAGCGCTCCCCGGGGCTACAGCCATCGTAACAGGTGGTTAAAACACACGGGATGCGCATCTGTTCTCACTTGGATGGCTCAGGCCTCCCACCGCAGCGCCCGTTACCGACTATAAGTCAGGGAGGAGAGAGGAGACGAGCCCCGATACCGTTGTGACACGAGGCCATTTGGAAAGCGGGGCTGAGGAGGCGCTTGCTGCGTGTTAAAAATTAAACAGCGTGCAGCGAAGCACACACACTGTGACGATTAAGTACGGAGGCTAATTTTAGGATTGTAGTGACACAGGCTGACAAAAGACTCCGTGTACAGCGTGTGTGATTCCCCCCCCCCCACTTTGCACAGGGAAACACAACAGACGCGTCCACCTGCAGCTGCACAGACACATCTGCCGGCAGGGATTAGGGATCCGGGAGGGGGGGATTCGGGAATGAAAAAGGCTGCGAACTGTAAATCATGGTCGCCATTTTTGTGTGTCAAACAGCTCTGTTTATTGATGAGACCCAGGGCACCGAACAGTCTTCTGCCCTGATGTGAACCCACCGGCTAATTAAAACCAGACCAGAGTTAAAGCAGTTGTTGACTCCGGTGAAAAACAGCGCTGGCTGAATGCCCTGAACGCACCACAGTTCCCCCATCTGCACCCTCCACTTCAGCGTTTTCAGCTTTTCTTTTGTATTGAATTCAACGCCAAATCTGTGATTCTGGATTCTAATTAAAAACATCGACTGTACCATATTGATTGGTTCACAGTCCAACTGGGATGTCTGTGCTCATCCGTACTGAAAAGATTTGCTGATATTTTTTATGCCGTTTGTGTACTAAGACCGGGACAATTCCTCCAGTGTTCAGGCCATTTGGATTCAGCCTCTGCCAGCGACACAAAACCAACATCTGGCATGCTCGTGTTCCGAACAGCCATGAAATTCCACAGGCCGAGGAGGGAAGGGGGGGGGGGCGGGGGCGGCCGCGGGGGTCTGCTCACCTCTCAGGTCCGGCCCGGAGCGGCCCGGCCCGCAGGTGGTGCTCTGCCGCGGCATGCGCAGCGAGGTGCGCAGGGGGGCGTGCCTCTGCTCATCCAGGTAGGCCAGGTCCTCCAGGTGGGCCGAACTCGTAGCTGTTGGCGGAAAGGGGGGGCGGAAAGACGGAAGGAGCAGGATATTTCAAAGACGGGAGAAAGACAAAGACACAATCGTCAGTATGTATGCACGCTTGCTGTAAACCAACTTATGATATGATACGTACATAGATATACAAAAAAAAAAAAAAAGTTTTAAAAAGGTGGGAAAAGTTCATGCAGGTGTCCCGGGACAGTTGTCAGGCTCCCGCTCCCGAGCGGAGCCGGCACAACACGCTTTCTGTCCTCCGGTTCCCTTTCCTCTCCGTGTCTGTCACGAGGCAGGCAGGAGGCAGGCAGATGCCATCCGGCCCCTCTCAGGATTAATTAGCTCAGCAGACAAATGTCTTATTCATGGGGAGAGCGCCGTCTGACGCCGGCTGGTGATTGTTCACACCACACTGTGCGTCGGGGGGGGGGGCCGGACTCAGAACCACTGAATGGTGAATGAGATCAGTGGTTGTGTGTAAGCAACCCACTTGATTCCACGTCTCACCTGAAGCCAACAGGTCAGACAGCGGTGACAGAAGTCCAGGAAAAGACCCTTTATCTAACAATAAAATCCAGGGAGGATTAAGGGGACTTAACCATCCCGAGTTTAGCAGCTCCTTGACAGCTGAGGGCCACGTTTATTTAAGGGAAGAAAGAGGCGGACTAACGCGAAGAAAGACAATCCAAGTAAAGATAAACTATTTGAAATCAGGTCATTAAAAAGAAAACAAAAATTGATTCAAATTCTGAACACTCTCTGTAGTAATTCCTGAGATCGAAGAAAACGGAAATATAATTTGAACACAGTCCGACGACAAAGAAATGGTCATCATATTAGATTGAATCAGTTCAGGATGAATTCAGCTACTTTGTATGGAGACAAAACCCTACAACCATCCAATGTCAGACAATGATATTCTTACAGTTTGACTTATAATTGAACAATTTTCCGTCATTTTCTCTTCAGAAGGATAAGACTTAAGTGTCTCGTTTAAAACCTGCCTGCAGCTGTTTCCTAAAACTGAGCCCCCACAAAGATTGGGTTACCTTGGTGATCACAATTATGGTCACCACAGTGGACAGAATGGATGGACAAGCCGTTTTAGCCTGGAAATCCACTTCCTGGCTCATGTTATTCAACGAGCAAAATCAAAGCGAGTGACATTTCTTTTTGCACAATACCTGATATAGTCTGAGCTTCTAAGATCCATTCAGTTTCAAGGACCTGGAGGGAGGTAATAGGAAACCGTGATTGTTCTCATTTGCATCCTTGGTTTGTCTCTGTAGTCACCGAGAGTGAAAGCACAGTAATCCTCCAGACGGCAGGACTGTGAGCCACCCTCCTCTCACCGACACCTCAACGCTGATCCTCGTTCATTACGTACGGAGATCGGCTTCTGTGCTCCCCCCAGTTAAACTTAGCCAGCCAGCGGATGGCTGCGGACGTATGTGTTGCTTGGTGGCTTGAGTCACCCAGGCCACGGACCAAAGAAATGAGCCACATGAGTTTCCCAAAATGGTGGGAAAATGGCAGCTGGGAATGTTGGAGGCTTGGCCCTGATAGGGGGGAAAAGAAAAAAAAAAATGGAGAGGGGGGGGGTTGTATGCTGGTCATCCAACTGGGATGAAAGCAGAGAAAGTGGATGTATTAAACTGCCGCTGAACTGAAGAAGAATGACTCAGAACTTCCTTTTTCACCGGCTTTCGGCTGCGTTTGAATGTGAGAACTCAAATCTGTGTGCTCATCATTCCCATCTGCAATGCAGCAGGCTGCTGGGGGATCACGTTCACAGCTGCTGTGCCAATGCGCTACGGCTACACGCGGAGCGGGAAGAAATATACAGTAGGAGAGGCACGGGACGGGGGGAGAGCGGAAGTGCCCGGAAAAAAAGCCCGAGTGAGCGGCGGAGTGCTGAACTTCCTGTTCAGAAGAGCGATGGATGGCGTGAACACATGCGTCCGCACACACATAAACACTGAAACAGCAGCTGGACTGCTGGCCAGCACCGGTCATCTGAGATGTGTGGCAGTTACTGGGGCTTTGTATCCAACACACTTCCCTTCTCTTCCTGCCGAAAGCGGCCTTTAGTTGTACCCAAGCAATTTTCATAGAAAATATTGCTCGATCACTCACAATTTTCGTCTAAATTGAAAAATGTCATGACAAATCAGCTGCAAAAGGAGGCCAATCCAGATCAGAGATGACAATTTATGTACGGGTACCTTATAAAAGTCAATGCTACACAAGCCTTAAGGCTATAAGATATTAATAAACATATCCAAAGCTGTCAAGGATGGGCCTAAACTTTTTAAAAGTTTCAGAACATTTTATAAGCAAAAAGCTTCAGTGATACCTACAGTGAAGTGTTCTTTTTTTAAACCATGGACACAAAAACCTCTTCAACAAACACAAATCTGCTTTTTTCTTACAAACCTAAACATCCAGTGTGTTGAAAGAATAAGTCAGAACCTGGATTATCTTTGTTTTCTGGCTAGTGGCTAGTTTTTCCCTAGCGTCTAAAAATGGGCATAGTTGGTTTCAACTTTCAGTTAAATACAGCGAAAGGAAATGAATGTCAGAAAAATCTATTTAGTATTTGACCATAACAGTCAGGCAATTAAAGAATATGCATTGTAATGTGCTAACGCGTTGTTATAAAGCACCTTTTCTGTATGAATCTCATTAGGTTTCCTAGCGTGGTGAGGGCCATGTGCTTTTGTGAATTAAATTAACTCATTAACTTGTTAATTAACTAAATGAACACTTCCGATTTTGGACAAACTGAATTCATTTCTCTGCAACCCAAATGAGCAATTCATTTAAAAAGGCTCTTTCTTTCACTGCAGTGGTTATTAGCTTTTGGAGGCCAAAAAACTTTTAGCTAAAGCTCTTGTGACGCATTTCGCAATGTTAACGGAAATGTTACTCATCTGCACCAAATTACAATAAAAACAAGTTCTTCCTGTATCTCGCCTCCCGGCCTGGTTTCTAAAGCTTCTAAAAAACTATTAGAAGTTAATGAACTGGAACTGTATAAGTTTATTACTGAAACACACATTAAATCTCTTAGATTGACACATAAAAAGGCATTCAATACAGAGTATGAGTTAAACAGGCATTATTTCAGGCACATCTCATTGTAACGATACCCACACATACCAGGTAAAGCTGGGACAGATCAAAGCCGACGTGTCAGCCAAAGCCTTAAATCAAAAATCGTAGAAATAAATGCAGTAAATATGCGTTCTACATAACGGTTCGGTCTGATCACCTCCTACTGAGCAGTGTTTTAAATCATTTGTATGAGAGCTCCAGACATTTTAGAAAAAGAAAAAAAAGTTTCCTGTTTCAACTACCAATTTCCTGGATGTGGGTCATTTAGGTGATATCAGGAAATTGTAGCTGTTCCACCCACCACTAAAAGTAAGCTCCGAATCTCCGGGGAAACACTGCAATGAAAAATATTGGCTTATACCGCATATGACTCAAATTCGGGGTGCTTTTTTAAAGCTGGAGTCGAGCAAAAGTTACCAATTAGAAACTGCCTTGGTAAGCGTTGTCTGACAGTGAGCACGTCTATCCAGATTTAATCTATTATAAACACCGACATCACAGTGGTGTCCTTGGTTCTCTGGCTTTTGGTCATGCTGTTCCGGTTTGTTTTCTTTGTTAGGTTTTACGTTCTCTCGGCTACTTGTTTTATTGTCTGCTCACAAAAGTGACGTCACAGTGACTATGAGCGGTAGTCCGCATAGCAAAGCACCTTCTCATATCAAAGCTGCAACTGCTCTGCAGCAATAAGCCAAAGTGCCTGCTGGGAGGAAACATTCTGGCTTTTACCTGTGGGAATATAATCATCATGTCTGTAAGGTCTAGCAAAAGAAAATAACAGGGGCTGAGGTTAGATATCACATAGCAACGATACATTGTCGGTGAGTCATAGGGAGTCGATTACTGCGACCGAATTTAGGCTTTCATTTCTCTTGTGAATGTATTTATTTATTTATTTTAAATAGATGGGCAGCGGGGGTTTTAGGCACCAGTATGATGCATAAGAAGAAGAAGCCTCCTTGGAGCTTGAATCACAGTCACTTACTAAACCTCAACAGCTTAAATATGGACGGTTTCTCATTTCAAATCTTTCTAAGTTTTGCAATCACTAATTTTACAACTCGACGCGGCTCTACTCTCAAATCTACACTGGCAAAGCCACGGAAAGATGATTACAAAAAAAAAAGGAGAATACTTTGTCCTAGTTGTTTCTTCCTCCATATCCATCTTCAGCACTACTAACGCAGAGCCTTCATTAGGTAACAGAGTATCCCCCTCACTCCTCGTCTCTCTCCCCGGTCGCCTTCTGCTCTCCCTTTTTCTATCTCCCTTCCTCTCCGCACATCAAAGCGAGTCTCTCTGTCACTCTGGGGGATAGAAACGGTTAATGCCTGGGGCTTTGATGTTCCACTGCCATGTGAGCCCAGCCAATCCTCAGCCTGCGCTCGCCTCCCCATCCCCTGCATCATCTAATAATTCTTTGTGGAGGAGAGGCAGAGTGAGAAAAAGAGATTATGAAACTCTCTTCTTTTCTTTTTTTTTTTTTTTTCCCACTCCTCTTCCCTGCGTATCCGTCTCCTCCTAAATATGGAGTTCCTGTCCCTGAAAAATACAAAATCACCAATTGCCTCGCTCCCTCTTTTCGGTTTAGATTTTCTTTATTTTATTTGCATCATCTCTAGCTGGCAGCGCGTGTTTGGAGCCGTCTCCAGCCCCGTCTTTGAAGATGTGGGGTGTGAAGGGCGTGGATGAGATGGAGTATGAATCTCTGAAGAGGCCGGGCTGGCAGACAGGAGTGTCAAACAGCCTGAACATGACCAGCATAAAGAGAGAGAGCCACAGCTGCCCCGACAGGCCTTGTCAGGCACATTACTGTGTTTAGCGAAACACACGAGCGCCGACGTGCGCAAACACACACGTTTTTTTTTTTTTTTTTCCCCAGCAGGAGTGGGAGAAGTAGATAATAGAGCTCATCGTCTGTTACAGCCTCTCTGATGATGAGAACAATAATACAATCAGGCCCATTAGGACTGCCTCCGTGTTATGAAACTGACATTCTTCCCTGATATTTCGCTGTTACTTTTGGGAGCCATCTGTGGCCAACAAGAAGAAACGCACATCAGTTAGCAGTACAGATGCCAGGTTTTCCAGCCACGGCGTGTTTTTTTTTTTCTCCCCCCCCCTGGAGAAGCCGTTTCCCAGACTGGTTTTTGACCCTGTGGTTTCGTTCTACAGAACGTTGTTGTGGATTTGCAACTACCAGGTATTTGAGTACAAACCATAAAGACCTGAAAAGCTGCTTCCTACCTAAATCATACTATTACAACTAATCTAAACTATCTTAATCTAAACAAACCACAAAGAAGCTCAGATTTAAGATACTTTTTCCTGATGAAATGGGATCTACAGCTGTTGTGTCAGAGGTTTTGCTTACACAACCGGGCATTGCCTTGCAAGTCGCCTCATGAAAACACTTTGAAATATTCATCTGTCGGGATGAAAAATTCAGCATTTCATTGTTACGTTTGCGATCAAAGGAGTCACACCAACGGACATCAAAGAAATCCAAGGTGGGAATAATAGTGCATCACACAAGAAAAACAGGCAAGATAATGAGGGTTGAAAGAACAGAAGAAGGAGTCAGAAATAGGGTGTAATGTGACTGAACACCAGCAGTTCAATCCATTTTGGATGGAAAAAGAACTGCGCATTGGCAAAACGTGTCCACCACATGGCAGACACCCTCATTTCTGTCTCCCTTCATTTTTCTTTCGGAGGATAAGGAAGGAATAAGGAAGGGGACTCACCAGCCACAGAGTTAGGGCGGGGCATGAGGTACAAAGGGATAGAGTGGGCGGAATGGGAGGACATGCTCTCCAGGTTTCGCTCGGGGATTTTGTTGAGGCTGTAGGTGGAGGCGGTCATGTTTTCGTCCACCCTGTACAGGAACGAGTCCATGCCTGATTTCTGAGACTGCCACAGCTTGAGGTTCCCCCGGGAACCCTCGCCGTACTTGCCGCCTCGCTCCATGTTCTCCGAGTAGCTGGTCAGAGTGGCTGCGAAAGAGAGAATGACACCGGTTTTTTCAGGGTATTGGTCACACCGGGGGTTGCTCGCGTTTCCCTCCCTCCTCCCCACCTCTACTTTCACATCTATTTACCGTTGCTCCGCATCAACTGCGTGTTGATGCTAAGCTATTCCTCTCAAACTGCAGGTGTTCACAGTTGTTGCCGGGAAAACAATGATGACATCTGCTTTGACATCGGGCGCATTTTTACCTCCGCTGCCGTCTTTCAAACGATGCGCAAACACTACAGTCCGTGTCAACACAATCAAGTGTCTAATTTCCCTTCAACAGAGGGAACAGATAAAGGACTCGCACAATGGAGCAGGTTCAACATGCTCAGGTGTGTTCCAATCATATCATTCGGCTCAACCGACGCCAGAGGAGATCAAACTAAGAGGTGTCACAGTGCTGATTGTCAGTCAAAGAGCACGTTGTTTTAGCTCATTTGAAAGGTGATAAAAGCAGCAGGATAATCGGTCGCAAACATTATTAATGAAGCACACCATGCTAGTTTAAAGATGTCTATACCTCTGGTGGAGAGCTTCAGCTTGAGTCTTTTAGGTTAATCTATTGCACTTTAAATGCTCCTATTCCAAAATTAAGCATAAACATAAGAGTGCCTAAAGCAACTAAATAGGTGTTGGGATAATTTTCTAAGACACCCAGGTAATGTCAAAAGTTTTGTAATTAAAATAAAAAGTAGCATTGAGCACTGAGGGCTGGTACATTTCCAGGGTATACCCCGTCTCCCCGGAGGAAACAGCAAATAAATCTGTTAAAATATGAACAACAAGCTTAAGTTGGATCTGCGTCATGTTCTGTAGCTGCAAGATGACGCAGCACCACCATGACAACGAAAATCCTGAGTCCAACCAGATGCTAGATCGCTTAGATACTAATCCTCCCTCGCAGTGAAGCACCCAGATCTGACTAAGGGAAATGTAAGAACAACTGGACCGGAAAATGACTGCAGATCCTATGAGGGAAGGTTTATTTATTTATTTTTAACGCAACTAGTGTAGTTAAAGGGTAAAAAAAGATTATGTCATCAGAAATTAGTGGAAAAATATTAAACAAGAAGTTCCAAAAATGATGCCTTTGTGTTCAAATCAGTGGCGTTTCTTGAAAAGTGAGCTCACCGATGATTCCACTGTCCCTGCTCTCCAGCGTCGAGGTGGGACTGGTGACCGACCCGTAGGCGCAGTCCCTGTTGCCGGCCTGGCCGGGCATGGCGGTGGGGAGGGTGGAGCAGGGGCTGCCCGCAGGTGGGGAGGCAGTGCTGCTGGTCAGGGTGGAGCAGGGGCTGATCCTCTGGTTCTGGCCCTGGGAGAAAACCACAGACACGTTACGGCTCGGTTCGGCTCCAACAGATGCATTACTGCAAGTGGGGAGAGAGGGAAAACTTTTAAAATGTGAGTGACACGGACAAAAATATCATTTCAGAATTGCAGCTTTTTAAAAGCTCCGCAGCCCGCAGCTTGAATCATTCCTGGGATTGCCTCTCCCACACATGTCACTATTCCAAATAGGTAGTGACATTTTTCTGAAATACAAACTGGAAATTTGTCCTAATTTATGTAAACATCTTTATAAGGATAAAATGTGAATGTGCAAATTCTTTGTGAGAATGCAAATAAAAATGTTACAATAAATTTGAATATATTCCTTCCTCTAAAAATGTAGTTGCTAAGGGATACAGCAAAAAAGACACAAATTGCGACTGCGTTCATATGATGTGGCATTACCAAAGATGATGTGCAAATATTTAGCACAGCTATGGTTTTCAAATCATTTTTGCATGTCTCAATGTTTATTTGCCGAGTTTAATAGAAAACCTGTTCAGATGACTAAGTCTCAAACATGCCATTACCAGCAGCATGCCATTTCTCCAATAAATACAACACTTAAGGAAAATTTGCACCATTTTTTTTCAAATGCAGGACCATTTCAGGATAAAGATTCAATTAAAAATATCAAATGGTTTCCATGGAAACATCACCAAAAGAAATCAAAGCTGTAGGACGACGTTTCCAAAGTCTCAGATCTTAATAAGCATGTTTGTGTTATGGCTTGTTAGCAATAATCAGAAAAAGGCAAACCATGGTAAATGTCAAAGCCTTATGAATATTCAGACATTAGCACTGAAAAAATATAAAAAAATGATGCAGAGAAAGAGGGAGACATTTCCAAGGAGACGTCGAACAGCATTATTTAAAAATTACAACTGAATCTCATCTTTCATTTGGCTTTGCAGACTAATGCAAAACATGGAGGCGAAAATCTTTTCCATACTTTTATGATTTATGATCATTATAACGAACGGCGTTTTGTTTTTCTGCGTTTCTTTTGGCCCCCTGCAGGGACTCCATTCTATGTCAGCTCCGGTTAGGACACAAACAGCCACGGGGCAACGAAATAAAAAACCTTTTACATCCAATCTGTTGTTGAAAATAAAAACACACAGATCCACTCTCACGTGAAACGCGCTGCCGCTTATACCTCAATATACGGAAACGCTGCAGCACATATATGTGAGGACACTGTTTGCATTAGGGGATGACAAACACTCCTTAAAGAACAGGTGAAGTCAGTTGGTGCTTAAGGCTACATTTAGTCCAGTGCACAGCCTTTTCTATTGTCTTATTGTATTGGAAGAGAGCCACTCAGGAGCAGCGCTGGACTAATTATTATTGAGACATTCATATCGATCCATCTGTCAATTATGTGTTGACGGCCTCCTGAGGTTGCTGCTCTGGAGATTGGGCAGGTTGTCAATTAATCTTCCGCTTGGTGGTTTGCTGCTTGGATACATTTGTCTACATGTCAATGTGTCCTTGGAAAATAAACTGATCTCACTTGCTGCAAATTGCATTTCACTCCCGACTGTGTGTCTGAGTGGGAAAATGGAAAACACTTACTAATGCAAATACCAAATATTGAATTCTGGCATGGCAATACAGTTGTAACATTGTTTTCATGGCCTGTTCAGCAAAGGAGTTGATATTTCAAGTTATTTCTCACATATCAAAACTCCATTCATATTTTGTTTAGAACCTAAGGTAGGTATAATTAATAGAGGAAAACCAGTGGGTCCTAAATCTTATAACTGCTTGTCTAAAACATCAGAAACAGCAGAAAACAAACAAGGTAATTACAATTTCAATTTGGACAAATTGGGACATTCTAATTTCAATTTCTAACATAAAATCAATTAAAACAATGGAAACCACATACACTTCATATCTGAGAGACTAGGGCCAACAAATTTGGCAATTTGTTTTAGAAAGAACAAACGAATGTCACAACAATTCCTAAATAAAGTCACTGACGGACTGTTTGGAATCCAAACTTTAAAAAAAAGTAAAGAAACAAAGCGACTTCTAATAAAACACTTGAGGTACTTTTGTGTGCGACTGGTCAAGTGAAAGAAGGATTGGTCAGAGACCACTTCAGCCACGGCCGCCCTCTGCTGTCCTCGCAGATGGGGGAACTCATGCGTGGCCCTAACAAAAAGCAACCCCGCTCACACGTGAACAGATGGATCTTAAGACGTGGAGCGATACCGCGGCTTTATCTGCCGGGCTAATGAACCTCGCCTTGCGAGGGGTCTGACCTTAAACGTCACACGAGGATTGGACTGAACTCGCGACTGCATCTATTTAGGGAGCCGGAGCGGGAGACTATGAAAGGCAATTAACCGCTCTCTCTACAAGTTAAGGTCACCTTCTTCTGCCAGCTGGTGAGGTCACTCTGGGAATTTAACGCCGTCGATTGGAGAACAGTATAGTGTATGTTTCATGCGTATAGAAAAAGAATTACAACTTAGACCTCTGACTCTTGATCACCGACTACCTTTTAGGTAGATTGATACATTTCTTTAACTGCGTTGCATAAAAAGGCTAGTGGATATTTTAAAGCTACATCTTACAATGCTAGCAAGGATGATGGAGGAGAGCTTATGTGTCTGTTCATGGAGGAAATGTCCATTGTGATGCTGCACCAGCCTGTTAGAGGCTTTATATTTATTCGATTGAGCTCTCCTGGGTTTATTTTTTTTACCATTGCATCGCTTTAAAGAACTGAGTGCAACCTCACAGCGACACAATTCAATGTCCTCAAGTCTGGAATTGTCAAAGACCAACACTCATTACTATGGAAATAAACCGTTTTTTCCTCTTTAGGTGTGCTCAAATGCAATAAACAAGGTTCCAGGCGGTTTCATCCGCAGTGAAAATGACTGTGGCTCGAACATTTTTTTTTTTCTTCTTTCCCCACTCTGTGCTGCAGTTTGCATTTGAAGGGCGTTTTTGCACCGCATGATATTTCATTTGCTGCCCTGAATCTGCTAACCGGTCTCACTGCAGTGACAGAATGTCTGTGAAGTACGCGGTTCTTCTGTAAAAGACATCAGTCATCCGGCTGCACTGTTGTAGTTTCTGCACTCCTCTGTTTTAACGTGCAAAAAGTCACTTCATTCTCATAAAAGAAACACTGACAACCACACACCCCCCCCAACAAAAACAAATCTCTCCCTCAATCTTCATTAAGTTTAAGGACCACAATCAGAAAAAAACTAAACAAATGTATGCCACGAAATGAAAAATGAACAAAAACCTAAACAATGCTAAATAACTTCTGAACTTAACACACAACACTATACAACTGGAAACTGTAGATTTTTGGAATACTGCATACTATCCTTCTACTAATTGAATTTGAACAAAAGCCCACTGTCTAATGCAAAGCTGGTCCTGGAGGGAGGCTATCTTGTACATTTCTCCCTACATCAGCACACCTGATTCCCTCTGATGCACCATTAGCAGGCCTGTGCAGAACTTCACAACGTTTTGAATAGATCCATTTATGTTGTTAGAATGTTAGAATGTTAGAATCTGTGTAGGTTCTGGTGCTTTTTCTGCATGGGGCACAGTTGCAATGCAGACGGCGGCATTTGGGGCAGATATGTAAAATAATAAGTTTGTGCTGCGGGCATGATGCAGAGCGGTGCAAGCGTGAGTCACGTCTCTAAAAAGGAGCCACTTGAATAAACCTCTCAATTTCTACACCCCCGCTGCTCCAGCAGTGCCGACATCAAGAGCAGGCAGTCCATCAGTCTAATCACTTATCCACGCTGCTTTAACGCAGACCCATCCCTTCTGCCCCGCGACGGGCGCTACGGCAACAGGGCGGCCCCCCCCCCCCCCCCCCCCCCTCCCCCCCCCCCCCCCCCGTCTCTGCTTTTCGGTCTCTCTCAGCTGTTGCTGTTTTTCCTCCCACGGTCTGAAAAATTCATTCCTGTCAAATCAGGTTTAGGTGGAGAAACCAGGGCATCTGCGGGAGGCCTGCTGTGCCAGGGGCTGTTTGTTGCACAACTGTCAGATGCATAAATAGAAAAGGTTACGCTGCAAAAGAGGAACCTAGAGTGGTCTAACATGCTGCGTGTCAACCCAAGTCACATAATTCCATCCAACGAGGAGAAGAAAAAAAACACACAACAAAACATTGCATGGTTTTGTTATATAAAGAAATCTGATCATGTGTGTAGATTTCTCCTATATGATGCTTGAAAACAGTTAAATTCTTCATTTTGGAGGGCAATTTCTCACAATAGGAACATGTTAGAAGGAGGTAACTGAAATAGGAATAGAAGGTTCAAAGTCTGTGGTGCAGGGTCTTTACAGGAGAAGCAACGCCTGTTAGTGAAGTTTACTTTTAGCCTGTGAGAATGAATCAAAAACATTTCCATCTGCCTCCAGGACAGTTTTCACTAAACCTTAAGATGGTCCAAAGTTTTTTAATGTAAATAGCAACTTGATATAAAGACAATCCAATTTGTCCAATGAGAAAAGACAAAGATGTTGTTGTTGCAGTGGCTCAAAAGCTGCTCGTTGTAAAATGTTAGCGGGATTTAAAAGATGTCAGAGGTCCGGTATGCGGTGCAGGTTTTAGTTACTACAAACCAGAACCAACAGAAAACCCCCGAAAGATGCCTGAACAGAAAGACGCGAGTGCAAAAGGTCATTGTTCAGTTTGTTTCTACTGCTCTATCGTTTCAATGCACAACGGCAGACAGGGGGAGAAGCATCTGAAGAAAAAAAAAATAGTCTTATTTCTGTATTAATGTAAAACCAGAGAGTCAACCGAGAAGGCAACACTAAATGTCAAACGAAGAGGAAAATCTGTGGTGAGTCGGGGGTACAGATCTGAGTTAAAGGAAAAGTAAAGTGAGTAATAGGGCTTTACCCTGAACAAAAAAAAAGAGAATCTGATGTGGTAACTTTGGGAGATGGTTACCTGTCTCGCCTCGGGTTCCTCCATGCTGTACTGGGTACCGGCTGGCCCCTCACTCACTTTGTCTCCCAGAAGGAAACCCAGCCGCGTCATCAATGTGTTGGCCGCCTCATCCACCGACGGAGGGGGGCCCAGCTCCTGGCTTGACTCCCCTGCAGAGGCAGATAGGTGGGCAGAAGAGGAGGAGGAGGAGGAGGAGGAGGAGGAAGAAGAGGCAGAATGTGCATCAGAGGTGGGCAGACACGGAACAGCAGCTTACTTAGCCACAAAAAGAAACTATGAGTGTCATGTGTGCATATCCGGTGGTTAGGGGGGAGTATCGGGTATGCTTCCTTTGTGTAAAAACACAGCAGAGACCACCAACCTGGACCGGGGACACACACCCCCGAGGCTCAGGAAAAAACAAATGAAACAGCCTTCCGTACCTGAGCGCTCCCGTAGCTTAGAGCTTTGCATTACCGACGCATTCCTCAACAGCTGGACGTCTCCTACCAGGTGTCTCACATAAACTCCCAAATCCCTTCGGCCTCTTGAAGAATTGTTTCCAGTTGTTGACTTAAAAACTCTTTCACGTCTTTCACGTGAAAAGCAAAAAAAAAGCTATCCAAACTGGCGGCGGCTCCTTCCGCACCACTCATCACCGCTGCAGCCCAGGTGACGTAATGTGAAACGCCTTTCACCTGTGTGTGTCTGTGTGTGTATGTGTGTGTGAAAGAGAGAGAGAGAGTGTGTGGCTTCTAGAGACAAAGCGGGTGTGTTCCCACATCTCTTCTATTTACAGAGACTGCCAGCCCCGAAGAGAGCAAAGGAAAACACCAGGGTGAGCCAGCGTGTGGATCAAAACCACACACACACACACACACACAGACACACACTCACACACACATACACACACATATCAAGATGGAGGATTCGAGGTGCCAACTTTGAAACAAGATCCAAAGCAAAAAACTGAAAAACAAACAAAACACAACCAAAAAAAAAAAAGGGAAAAGATCCTGATGACCTCATCTTGTCACCTGGTTGCCTGGTTACTCTCCACCCATGACAAACTCTCACTGGTGGTATCATGTTTTCAATAACACCTGGCTATCAAGCCCTGGAGGCGTCCGCTCCATCAACTTTGATTCAATTTGACATTATCCACCAGAGTGCCACTCTCGGGGCAGAATGTTTTGTTAATTACTCACCCCGATCTTTGTCAAAAAACAGGAAAATTGGCCAGCTGTAATTGGAAGTGTAAACCCTTCGAATTGGCTCAGACACTAATGACACGGGGGCCAAGAGTGTGAGATAGCTGGTGTTTGAATAAAAAAAAGCCGTTAAACAGAGACAGCTAGTGGCCGGACCAGTTTTTCTCACACTCCCCCCCTCCACACCACCCCACCCCCACGAGGCAGGTCAAACCAGACAGGCAGGTAGCCGCTCTCAGCCCCAACTGACAACCATTAGGCAGCTCCAGCCGCCACACGGCCCCCCCGAGGGACGGGCGGCTCGTCTGAAGTCTGCGCTCTCCACTCGTCAGATAAAAAAGACGTAGAGACAAGCTTAAGCCCGGGCTCCCTCTCCCCTTCACTCACGGGCCGAGCAGGATTCCAAATAGATTGAATCCGAGTCCTTCCGCGTGAGTAAGTGAGACGGGCACTTTTCTAAGGGAAGGGAGAACCCTTCGGACCAGATGGGAGTGACGGGCTGCAGAGTTTCAATGGAAAAACACACAGAGCTGCAAACAATAAGGAGGTAATCACAGCACACATTAGGTCCCAAACAAGCCAGTGAGCCCTGATGAAATAGCTGGGGAGGTGACTTTTAGCAGAATACGTTCATGTGGGCACTCGTTTTTCTTTGAGGTTTCCCTTTGAGGAAGTGCACAGCCACAGAGAGAGTGTGAATAGGCTGTGGAGAGTTCAGCCTCTTTAACATTAGCAGAGACAGCTATGAGCTGAAAGTTTAAAAAATCCAGTTCGTTTTCAGGGGTTATTCTTATTCAAATGCTAGCTTTGGTGGCAGTACGTCTGTGCATCTGGACCTGGAGGCTGGGACGGCCTTCTGGTTGACAGGCTGCTTGTAGTGAACAGTGAATACATTATCAGTAATTAGTCAACTGATCCTGGGAGGCTTCTGGCCCCAAATGTGATCAAACGGGGACCTCGGTTTGTCTTTTTCCGCCCGTATAAGTTTATCTCTTTCCATTGGTGGCTGACTTTTTACCTGATATTTCAACCCCTGTTTCTCAGCATTCCTCCCTTAAACTGGACCAGCGTTGCACGTTTTTTTTTTTGTCTTGTGCGAGCAAAGTCTCTAATCTGCATGCAAGAATCACAGCGACTCCCCCCGAGCTAAATGCAGGCAATCCCTTTGTACATCCGTTATCACTCACGCTCCAAAAATACCAGCTAGAAACATATGTCAAGGCACAGCTTTTTTGGGGGCAGCCACAGTGAGCGAGCTGTCATTTAAAATCAAAATCCACATGCTGTTTTGTTCCAATGAAAAAACTAAATCCCAGCAGTCACTGACATAGTCTTGCTTTTTTACAACTAACACACATGAGCTCTTTTTTCAAAAGGGATTCATTACCATAAAGCAGGGTTTTATGTTGATTTCTTTTCATTTTCAACACTACGTTTTTGTTCCTTAAATACAGATTGTGACAATCACAGAGTACTGCCTCTCACCGAAGCCACTGACAACAAACATCTACATCCCCTTCAACGAGAGTTGACAGCACTTGGAACATAAGAGAAGCCTGGAGGAACTTTTCATCACAGTGACACTCGTGATGAAATACATATACAGCCTCCATGCGTGCACGTATACATATCAAGCAGGGAGAATATTATTTACCTAAATCAGCATATACATACACACACAGAATGAATTCCTGAGCTGCGAAGGAGACAGATGGTTGTCATAGCAACTATCTTTGCACGCAGCTAGGAATGTGTTTCTATGCAAGCGCATCTGTTTCTGCCTGGCTGTCCACAGATCTGCCCTCTCGGGCCAAGAGAAGCCCGGGAGAGAGGCATGTGTGCTGCAAGCAGGGGACAGGACAGGAGATGGTATTAATAGGCCCGGATAGCAGGTGAGACAACGCAAAAAGCATTTGGTGGCTTTATCTGAGCACTTCGGCATTCAGTTCAAGCATTTATGCGCATTATTTAGGGAAAAATAACACTACATGAATACCTTAGAAGTAGATGACACTGGTCTATATCATATACATATTGCTGACATCCAATGTACGCAGATTTATTATTTAAAAAACTAGGGAATGCATGGCCGATCTAGACATCAGATTAGACTATTTTACATTCCGGATGTGCACACTTGGAATCTTATCTGTGCATCAACGCCTGTGTATAAAATCGTGCAAGAACTTGGCACCTCAGGTCTCAAGAGTGGGTGATGTGAAGATGCACGGAACACGTTTAAACGTACTGATTTTGCCTGTACTAAAACTGTCATCGTTGTTATTTCAGTGACTTTTTCACACTGAACTACCGACATGAATATTCATGTCAACAACAGCTACCTGGTCCTGAAATTAATCTGATGAACACACTATCATGATTACGGTGTTAACATCAGTGCAGGTCACATTAATTTATATTAGCTGATACATTACGCAAAGAATAACATGATTATTAACATAAACCCAAAGGCATCCTCCAACCAAAGTTAATTTCATCCTAATTGCTTTAAAAAAAAACAGAGGATTAGCTGACTCAGGGTTGTCCCCTTCAGCCTCAAATTGTATCTTCTAACTCAGCCTTCTGCACCAAACTCCACCGGAGCTATTAATGTCAGATCTTGTGAGAAAAATTACTTTTGGAAAAGAAATAAAAGAAGAACTGACCCAATGTTGCTAAATATAAGCAAACCTGGCAAATGTAGACGCAAAGATAAGCCACACAAATAAGCAGAGTGTGTCTCCCATTTGCAAAAAGTAAAGTAAAGACTAAATCTTCCTTTCAGTTTTGCTTAAAGACTAAATCTTCCTTTCAGTTGTGCTTAAACTCAGCTCAGAGTAACCCGGCTAAAGTGGAATAATACATGATATCAAAAGGCATGCACCCATCGTGGGAGATTATCTAAAGAGTCCACCATCAGTCTCGGGAATTACTGTTTAGAAAGGCGGCGCTCCAACATCATTAGGAATGCTTTCAGTGCCTGATAGTGAGCTTTACTATCTCACAAAAAATATTCACAAACGCTATTTATGAGTCAACAAATTCCTGCGTAGTCCATAAAACCGGGCTGATACCTGCTCTCCTCCTGGCGACAGCCTCCCTCAGCGGCGGCCTGGCATGCGATCAGATGTTTAAGTCATTGCCCTGCCACCGCACATGCCAGGCGGGGCTTGTTAGGAGCTCAAATGTCCATCTGTCCACCTGAGGGGTGAGAGTGCTCACCCCTTGAAAGCCTAACCCGGCCCTCCTGGCACCTCTCCAGCCTAAGATATCGCGGCGCTGACAAAGAACTTCCGCGTGTAATCAACTGTTATCCCGCGTCGATGGCACCGCAGATTAGGGCTTCATCCCCCCAAAAAACGGCAAATCTACAGAAGCTTATAGCGGCTTATAACTGATATACAACAGTCTATTCCACAACGCTGATGCAAAATACGGGCTGGGTTTAACAGAGTCGGTCGCCTGAACTAAAGGGCCCGCAGTACAGAAGTGTGAACTGTTCAGATTTATGCAGCCGCCGGGAACAACACGAAAACATTTTCTGCTATAAGTCACCTACTTAGAATTCCCACGGGGCAGAAATTCGGCAGAAGAGGCTGACAGATGGGGAGAGCCGGTAAGGCTCTTTCAAGCGTTTTCCTAAATTACACAACTTAAGCCTGGAGGCCCCCCCAGTCGCTGCTGCTCTCAAGCCTTCCTCCGGCCCTGAGGTGCGGGAGCATTGTCCCGCTCGGTTGAGAGGTCCACACACCCCACAGGAGCTTGAGCCAACAAGACAAGGCGGTAAGCTAATGCTGGGAGATGAGAAAGCAGATATATCAGAGCCTCCGGTCGGCTGCTTTTGATGTCGTCCCCGAGTGAGGAAGGGGGAAAAAGATAGCAGGGGTTTTGAAAGGGCGAGGGCGGCTGAATCTGGGGCTGTTCGCGGGATTACCGAGGAAAAGCCGGCAGTGCAGTTAACAGAAAAACAGCAGCGGCAACCTAAACAAGCTCCGAGAAAGCAGCAAGGAAGGATTAAAGAGACGGGGAGGGAGGAGGCAATGATGGTGGACACCGTGGGCACAAGCGGAGCCATTTGATTAATGACCTTAGCAATGTTTTCATCTTAGCAGCTGGCAACATAACTGTCAAACCAATGACTCCCCCCCCCCCCCCCCCCCCCCCCCCCCCCACCCCACCCCTATCTCTCCCTGTGTCTCTGTGCTTCATTTACACAGTCAGGAAGCGACAAGCAGAACAAAAAATGAAAGAAAAAAAAAAGGTAACCACACGGAATGAGGGGGATGAGCTGGCCAAAAAACTTACCAGGGCAGTATGTGTCCAGGTCTGGATTCTTGGCAGTGGTGGAGGTGTATGTAGGGGAGCCAAGCTCTGATTGTGGAATGCGAGGGCTCTCCACAAACTTTGCTTTCCGCAGAGGGGCTGGGAGCAGAAAGCGTGCACACACGTATAGAGAAGGAGACGACACGCGCATCCACAGAAACACACACACGCACGCACACACACGCACAAACACACAGATCGGGAGGATGGAGGAGGACAAGAGAGAGAGAGGAGTGACAGGGACAGGACAGAGAGGGAGGGAGACAGAGAGCTTATGAACTTGGAGCAGCACACTGATAAAAATGAAAAATTCCTAAAGGCTTACTTGGACATTTGAAAAGAAAAAACCTTGTGTAAGCTCAAACTAAAGCATGAGTAAACAGGCAGAATGGGTCATCAGGTAATTTCACCAAAGCAAATTCCTTGTATGTGTAAACCTACTTGGCAATAAACCCAATTCTGATTCTGATTCTGATTCTGAAAAACAGGCCGCCGATGAAATGTGAACGTCTACATTTAATTAACGCTCACGAAGAAGCAACTGTAAAACTGTGGAGGAGAGCAGAAGCTACAATCGAGGTTTCTTTTTGGGAACGTTCTGGAGCCTGACAGCAGCACCTCGTCTGAGACGTCCAGTGACTTCATTTGACCACAGATTCACAGAGAGAAAAGACGTGGGTGGTGATTGCGACACGATCTTTTTCTGGGCTCTCGCTCACAGCAGAGTGACACCGACCAGCTTTCTCGAATCGAGAGCGAGCGAGGGGGACAAGGAGGACCTCCGTTTACAAAAAAGACTGCAATTAATGGAAAAAAAAAACCTCCTCCATACATCCGGCTGCATTCTCAAATTAGTGCGACGACTTCTACAAAATGACTGCCGGTGATGGCTCTCTGCAGTATAATAGCTAACCCATAATGCTTCCTGCACTCTGCTGGCTTCTTCGTGTTTTTCTCAATTAACTCAAAGTGCAGAGTCCAATTCGACTGAATATGTGGGAACGAGAAAAAAATCCCTCAACCCTTAAAGGAGTGGCCTCCTCAGCCAATATCAAGAACAGGAGTAGCCTTATCTCACCACTGAAATGGCTCCTCTGATGGAGTTGGGCACTAGAATTCTGATCAAATCTACTAAACTGTGGCTCACTTTTAATCTTTTCTTCTCAGTCTTTATACTGGTGGGTGGTATAGGATTGGCAGGAGCTAAGCATAATTTACTCCTAATCGACTAATCTGGTTAAATAAGGGGTTAAAATAGATTATGTACTGTATGCTGCAACTGTTAACCGTTCCGGGTGAGTGCACATGTCCAAAGTAATCCAGCACAGCAAGGCTTTGCTGAACCCGAGCGCAGCGAGCAGGAAGCCATGAGCAGCAGTGGAAACATATGTTCAAACAACAATGGCCGCCCAACGAGTGGCATTTTTAATTCCTGTCTGAGTGTCGTGTTACCTCTAATGTCCCTGTAATGAGGGAGTGGGATGGGTGGGGCCCGGCAGAGTTTTCTCTGTCTGTGTACAATGTGCACGCTGCGTGAAGCTCAGGGGTTTAGCTAAAAACAAATATTACACGTGTCAGGAGCTGTAGGTTTTTTTTTTTTTACAGCTTTCCGACAACTTCAGCGGGTCGAATTTAAACGTCTGAGCAATATACGACACATAGGGCAGTATGCTTCACTTCATATCGGCTGAACACGACACTGTTGACGGCGCTGGGCAGGAAAACAGAGAGCTTCACTGATAGGCTCACAATCAAGATGAAGTTTTCACCATTAGTGTCATTTCAGCTTTCCTGGAGTGACTGCACCACCCAAACCAAGACTCACACATGACAATCAAATCAAATTGCTCCAGTGGTGGAAACAACAATACTGAAATATCTGAGGTATTCTTATTTTAAATAGCTACTCATTGCAACATGACTTATATAGCAATTAATTGCCATAATTTAGCAACTATTTTTTGGAAATTTGAAAGAAAATATATTAGTTTAGTCTGCTGTTGGTCTAAAAACAAAGTAAAGGACTCACCAAAACTATATTTATGATGCAGTTACTGACTAGTTCAAATATAACTGAACCTGACAAAAGAAAGCTGAAAATAGAGCATTTGCATCATCTTTTGTGCCATCTTTTTGCATCTGTTTGCCTCTGTCCTCCGCTCGGCGAATACATAAATATTAACGCGGCCCGGAGCCCAATAAATATGCATGGGGTTCTGTTTTTGTAGTCAGGTGGAAGAACGAGTCCGAGTCTCTGACAGAGAAGCACACCCCTAATAAGACGAGGCCACAGCCAGAGCAATCAACACGGCCGCCCCGGATTTGGAATCTGTCAAAACCTCCGTCCAGGGAAGCCTGTGCCGTGATTTCTGCTGCGTTCACGTGTTCGGCCGTCACTCGGGGAGAAAGTTAACAGCAACAGATGGCCCCGAGACGTCTTCTCACTCAACAAGCGGCAGCAGCGGCGCCGCTTTGGTGACCGAACGAGCACGGAGGACGCGGGGAGGGGTGTTTCCTCCATCGGAAATTCTGCTCGCCAAAATCTAACAAGTTCTTGGGTTAGTTCTTCACATGGACGCGCGTCTGTTGCAAAGAGAGGCGTTCGCTTGTCGTGTGAGCAGCGTTGATAAGGCGTTGCTATAGACTGGGGAGGATTATAACCCATCACATCCAGAAAGGGAGGCAGCACAGATGTTTGACTGACCATTTCAAACCTGCTAAACATATGGGCAAATATCATTTTCGACATCTGAATTAGCCTGTAATTAAGAGTAAATGCGAGGCAAATTTCAGCATTGAAAAATGAATGCAATCTTGTTGTTTCAATAATTTCCTTAATATCCTCTCCTCCTCCATTTAAGGGCCATTGCTCTGAAGCACATTTCATCAATGCTGTTCTCTTATGTCTCGACCACGTGAGATTAAACCAACAGGAGAAACAGGGTTCTGAGCATGGGTTAGGGGAAAAAAAGAATCAAAGCAGTAGTCTTACAAATCATAACTCTACTTCTAAAAACTCATATGGTCTTTTTCTGCTTAGAAGTTACCAAAATCACCACACCCCAAAACAAAATAAAAACAGTATTACATGTGTTTGAACTGGAAGGCAAACCTTTCAGGCAGCAGTTCTTTGCTCCTTCTCTCACATCCTTTCTACAACCTGTGACCATTTCCAGCGAGTTAAAAGCACAGAGAGGTCCCAGCTTTTACGCGACACTGACATTTTTGCGACTTTGCAAAAATACAAGTAGTTTTTGGTGATTTATTGAAAAATATTGACATTTTTCCCACTGCTCCCTTCAAGCTGCAAAAGGTGTCCGAACACGCTGTAATCATCAACGCCTCGAAAGCCCAAAGGGCGTTCCCTTAGAATAAAACAAAATATCAGTTTTTGGATAAACTCCAGAGCGTTGGAGATTACCGAGTCTTTTTGTTCGCGGCTCCTCTGATCTCACCTATACCGAACGGCGAAAGGAGACTCTGTCAATTGGAGTAAATCCCCTCAGTATCACCGGTTCCAGGAGGCTAAATCCCATGGACTCTTCTTCTGCGGTTCCGTTGTCAGTGCGTGCCAGGCTGAGGATGGCTGACAGCATGATGGATGGTAGCAGGCAAATCCACTCCTCTAATGAGCTTATAAATAAATGCATCTTGTCTGCATGCGCAGATGCACGTGGCCGTGAAATGGATATTTGTTACAAGCGCTGCATGCGAGGGTGTGAATATGAATATGCATGTGACATGAATGCCAGTGTACGCCAGAGATTAGAGGAGGAGATGGGAGGGGATGCAGGGGAAGCTGCGGGACCAATGTGGAAATGCTCAAAACTGATATCTGCTCCTGTGTTTGTCGGGAGACGCTCAGCCTTTTGGTGGAGTCATCAATAGAAAATGAAAGCGAGTCAATATTGTGATTCAAATTTTGCACCGCGCTGTGCATATGAACGAGGACGGTCCCCTTCATACACAACCTGGGCTTTCGGCAAATAAACGACAAGATCTGAATATGAATCGGAAGCGTCAATATGCGAGGCGCATTTCTCATTTCTGCAGATAAGTGACTGATGGGCAAGTAACGGGAGAGACGCATTGTTTCTGCTCCGTCTCGGCTCCATGCGACCTCGGGCACCCACTCAGACAAAGGGATCGGCGCCCACACATGCGTGCATTATCATACACATTCCCGGCGATGATGTGGGTGAGGACATGCATCGCCTGGCTGTCTGCAACACGAGCGGAGCATCGCAGAGAGCCCAACACGCGGCGGCAGTCACTATGGCAACACCGGAGTGAAGGAAAACAGGGGAAGAGTTGTCTGCCCCCTCTAAGGTGGCGGCCACGCTGACTTCAACAACAGAAAAAGCCCGCAATGATTTTGCTACATCCAATTCAAAGAGCATCTTTGTATTGACAAATATCAGCTTGTCTTCTCACCTAAATCGAAAGGAATTCAGCCTCAATAGCTGCGAGCAGCTCTGATTCGTTGTCTTGTGGTCATGAGAGACAGAGATATACCAGGGGATTTGGCGAAGTTTCTTTAAAATAAAAAACTGAGGTTATCAAAGAAGCTTGAGCTCCTCCATGTAAATTATAATCCATATTATGGAAAATACATCAATAATATAATATATTATCCATAATTTTGTATGTGCACGTTGGTTATTCATATCTCATTGGCTTATATCATTGGCATATTTCTCATTGGGTTATATTTTAGGGCTAGGTTGTAAAAATAAATAAATAAAATTGACTTCAAATTCACATGGACTGATGAAATCTTTTCAAATCATTTCAAATTTTCGCATCTTCTGTAGGAATTTGTTGCCAAGACCCGTCGTGTAAAACAAGTCTCGTGAACGCATGTCGAAAAGGGCCTTTGGCGTCTGTAAAGAGACAGAAAACGTGATGGAAGCATGAACCCTGACAGCGGCACAGTCCCGCCTGAAGGCAAACGTGAATCAGTCTTTTGAAAATATAAGATATGCTGACTGGGTGGGTTTGATGAATATTTGCGACTACTTCTATGAGAAAACTCTCTTACATTCAAGCCAAATGTCTACTGAAGCTGAATTATTTTAATTGGAATTGAGTCAACTCGGGAAATAAATGGCGATAACCAGCCCGACTTTTATGTGGTTTAGGATGTTTTATGTCTTCACATGGAATCTTGTAAAATCCTTCTTTTTTTAAGTCAATCCAACAGACAGCAAAGGAGCTCTTTTCCAAATGTGTTAGTAGATCTAAGTACAAAAACCAGCACAGACATTTAGAAAAATCTTTAGCTTTTCGCTAGCATGAAGCACAAATGATTTTTTCCAGACCTCTTAGACTTCATATCCAACCCACAGGCTTTATCAGGGTGTGGGTGTAATAATCCGGCTCAGAGGACCAAAAATGACTCTGCATGCTCCTCTTTTTGACCTGTCAACTAAACAGCAGCGACCAGATGCTGCAGAACGTCAGCAGCAAGCAAAATCTGCTCCTTAGGCTGCCTCTCCGGCTTTTATTTATGTGTGTGCACGCGCACACACTCACACACACACACGTGTGTGTCTGTCGTGTCAGCCCTGTGGGATGAGGGGTGCAAGGTGAGGCACTGGCAGAATTTTAAGAGGGCCGGGGGAGGGGCCGATGAGCTAAAAACA